AATGAATAGATTGTGTTGTTTGTGTTTATAAAAAGAGCACGGGGACTTGTTCCAATAATGTTTTGATCAGCAAAAGTAATTGCAGATTTATTCCAAATTGCATTTGAACAAAATTTCGGTTGATTAAACGAAAGAGTTGAAATTCTTTGAATAAAAATCCAAAGAAGATAAAACGAGAAATTTATTTGAATCAAAGAAATAAAAATGTGAATAAGAAGAGATTCTTATTGAATTAAATACAAATGAAAATGAACATGAGAAAATCAATAAATTCTTCTCTTTTTGTTTTATCTAAATGAAAAATATTTAATACAAAAAAACCGAGATTTTCTCACGTCTAGTTCATATAAAAATGACACGTCTGTTTATTCAAATATGAAAATATCAAAAAGTTACAAAGATTTCTCTTTTTTTTAGATAAATGTTTTCATCGATCAATTCAATTTTGGAATTAAAATAGAAAAATTGATTTCGATCGTTAGTTTATTTCTTTTGCAAAGAAAAGATTTTTCCTTTTAAAAATTCTTTTTCATTGATAAAATTTATTTAAAAAAAAACATTTTATAAAAATCATCATTTTCTTTGATTTTCCCTCAATGTGAAATCTAATTGAAAATTATTCCAAAAAGACTTTGTTCATTTGTACGTGATGATTTGAAGTAATGACAATGAAATAAAATCAACAGAATTTGCTTTGTCATGATTTTGAAATGAGAAAATCTCATTTTACACAAATAATTCAAATCAACAAATTCACATTTCTTTTTCATTTGAAAAAATTGTGAAGAAAATAAAGAAATTGAATTGTTTATCGGTTAATTTCAATGAAATCGTTAAAAATTACATTTTAAAATGATAAAAATAATCAAATTCATTAAATTCACAATTTACAAATTTCAAACCTGATAAAATGAAATAAATTATTCATTTATAATTTCAAATATTAATTAATATCGAATTAAAATTTGTTATTAATTTCTATGCCGATCACCCTCAAGATTATTATTTAAATTAACTCAAATTATCAAGGTTAAACAACTTTTTTGATGTTTTAAAAAACTTTTATTTTCTTTGTCAGACAAAATCAAAATATAATTTGTATGAATATTTCTATCAGATTTTTAGTTCCGAGTTATCCCGTTTGGATAAGAAATGACCTTTCTAGAAAATTTCATTTCTGTTCCAAATGTTTCATCAACATTGTCAAACGAAAATCTTCATAACCAGATCTTTTCTGTTCACAATGAAAAGATCGACTTTTAATTATCTCAATTCAAATCATTTATCATCTCGTCACAAAAAACACAATACATCGCTTTTGAAAATTAGCACAACGCAAATCTAAATGATCATCATTGTTGACGCCATTTGCAACGATAAAACTTAAATTGATGATGGACTTTTCAATAGAATAAGTTTCTTGTGGAGAAAATATTCCATAGAAGTGATTCGTGGCATCATTTGTAACGATGAGATTCTCACTGATGATGGAAATTAGTTGAGAATTCAATTCAATTTCGTAGGAAATCAAAGATTTCATTTGAGAAAATTCTACGACAGAAAATCATACAAATTTGTTACAATTCGAGATCGAATGGAGAAATATAAAGACAAATATCAGTTTACATTTCACATTGTTTTTGAGCAAATATCAATGAATAGATTAAGAAAAAGATCAATAAGGAGAGTATTGACTCACATTGAAAGAGAAAAATTCAAAAATGTTAGAAGATGACCGATGAACTGAATAGAAGATTCACATAAAATAGAAAGAAAATCTTAAATGTCAAAGGAGAAAACAAAGAAAGATTAGAAACCAATAAACTTTGTGCATTTCGAAACGGAATTTGAGAGAAGTGACACAATTTTCAAGACTGATTTCATGAAAAACTGATTCAATTTTGCATAAAATGACCGTTTACTGATGGAAATGATCAATAGATTTATTGAAATGTATCAGCTCTGTGTGTCGAGAAGATGTTTGTGTTGTGTTTGAGATGGTTGTAAAGGTATTTCTGGACAGAATAACATATAAACCGAAAGAAAATACGTTTGCCTCCATGTCTATGAAATCTTTAACTAAATTCTCGTGATGAAAACATATTCAGATTGATTATTGTATTTCATATTGATATTCGAAAGATTTTTGTGCGAATAGATAAGTTCTGTTGATCTATTCAACACAAACATGACGATCTTATCAAACCAATCCTGTTGAAGGTGAGAGGGTGGTCCTTGTCATCGATGGAAATTTCGTAATATTATAAATTGCGTAAGAATTCAATAACATAACGTCATTTTTTGGAGTATGTAAGTGTGAGACTATGTGTTGAAAAACTCGTCTTCAAACTCTATTCTGCTATATTAGCTTCTATAACATGCAAATCTTCATTCGCAATGCTGCCAAATTACTGACAGTCAATGTTGAACAAGACGACACTGTCCAAGATGTATATGTAAGTTTGAATTATTGAGGTTTTCGATTGTTATTTGAAAATTGTTGCTATTTCTAGGAATATGTTGCGCAAGAATCAGATTGTGAAATGATTGACCTTTTACTAAGCGTCCATGGAACAATTTTAAATAATGAACAAACAATTGAAGAAGTCATCTTCGTTCCGGGCACTGTTCTCGATGCTACTGTTAAAGTTCGAGGCGGTAAAATTCATGGACGAATGAATAATGCTGGCAAAGTTAAAAATCTGACACCAAAAGTATGTTTCTTCTTTTTCAATATTTTAGAAATTCTTAAGATAATGATTGATTTTGTTTCTTAAAGGTTCCCCCTCAAGAGAAACCGAAGAAGAAAACCGGCCGTGCCCGCCGCCGAGAACAATATGCTCATCGATTCAGCAACAAAGTAGCTGTACCAAGCGGCTTTCGCGTCGGACCCAACTCCAACCATCAACTACCAGCCATGGCATAAAACTACATAAGCAATGAGAACACTTTTTTTTATTTTATTTTGATCAGTGAGAATTTTTACGCAAATGTTTGATAATAAAACTTAGCTCACCGTGCTAATGATATATTAATGAAACGTATGTACAGAGACCACCATTCTTTTATGCCGGTTTCGCCGTAGTGGATGTATGCATGCAATACAGGGTGAATCTACCCACTATCAGAATCTACTCATTCTCAGCAGATAAAACTGATTCTATAATTCTGCACTGTCATCTATTCGACCTACTCTAAACCTGTGAAGAAGCAATACAATCTGTTAGTGAATCTTTGAATTACGGTATTTCAGAGATCATTGCATTTGACGTTCCATACATATTATATATACAATAGAGAACGTGTGAGGAAATTTTGTAGAAATGCAAATGGATAGCAGAAGCACCATTATCTTTTGCATTCTGCTCTTTTCTACATTCAGATGTTATCGATCATAAACAATACGAGTACTCTCATTTTTCTCTGCCAGTGTTAAATCTACTGCCTTTCCATAATATAGACAAAAGAAGAGATCAGGAACGAAGCACAGCTCTTTTCTTACGATGAACTCTTTGTGGATGCTCATTAGTATGTCTGAACTAGGCTCTTAATTTTAGAATAAAGTCTGCTCGATATTGCGAGTTGAGAAAAGCACAAGCTACTGTAGTATAATGGTAGTATCACGGTTTGTCGGACCGAAGACCAGGGTTCGATTCCCTGCAGTAGCGAGATATCTTTTTTCATTTCATCATTCACTAATTATTTGTACCATAATGATTCATTTTGTATAGTAATTGCATCATACGAAGTGTACAGAACACAAACATTGCTTTTCGTTCTATGAATATGACTCATGTCGCTTTTCATATCTATCATTACAGTCTACATTATACATACGACTTCATGTCAATGGTTAGTTGACTTTTCTTTTTGTGTAATATTCTTCCTTTGTTCTCAGTCAGTGAAGTGCTTTTGGAGAGATTCAGAGTGTCATTGGTAAATCTGTAGACAAAAAACCCACACCCTTAATAGATGCTTTCACACATGTTTTAATGATTGTCATAGATCGATTTTAGTATCAAATATCGACAGCTTAGTTTCAAATATCCTTAGATGGGAGGGACGCAGAAAACAATAAATTGCTTCCGTTTTGTTGTAAATGACGTCGGTATACTTTTCAATTTTGTTTTCAGTTGGATCTGAGTAATGTTTGTTCAGACAATCAGCGTTATAATACGTGGTATGACTTTGAGGAGGAAGTAATTAATAGCATATATATATATATACATACTTTTCGGCAATGTGAAACATTCGAATTTCAAATTGATCGTCTTCACAAAGCACAATTTTACGAATGATCTCATTGATTCTAATTATTGCGATATGCGGGTAAGTTTACACTATGTTCTATATATCTGAAATCCTTCCTATGTCCTTTCTCTTGTTAATGTTAGATTTGTCAATATATTAGCGAATAGTAAGTACCAAATGGTTTCATCTTATAATGTGTAACACTGTATTCAAATAGGTTGTCCCGATAGTTATAAATTAATAGATTTTGAAATACTTGGAGGAACCATTGATCCTATACCATCTATATATCAAGGTCTTACTTGGCTAGATGCTTACTATATGATAGCTTCACTGGAGCCAGGAAGCGGATATGAAGTTCCATTACGTAGCGGCGGATACATTGCTTTCAACGCACACGGAGCTCAGATGTCAATCGGTGCTCCTGCATCATCCAGTATTGCTGTACATTCATTTGTGGCGGCCGCGGCTTGGAATGATGATTTAGTTCTGACAATTACCGGTGATCGCAATGGAGCAACTGTTTACAGTGAACAAGTTATTCTCAACACTACTTCAGCAACAAACGTTGTATTAAACTGGACAAATATCGACAACATTTCATTTTCAACATCTGGAGGTGTTCCTGCAAATGCTAACTCAGCTGGAAATGGTACACATTTTGCTATGGATGATCTATGCGTATTAAAAGAGTAAGCACTGGAATGATTACCACTGATCAGACAATTTTTCTCTCTCACTATCTCTTTCTATATAGACAAAAGCGACAGCCAGAAATTCTATACAAATGTGATTATTGGGGCGATCCGCAATTAATTACATTTCCAAAACAGGCCAATGAATTTGCTTCTAGTTCTTGGTGTCAAATCAATGGTTCATCAGTTCTTTTCGAAAATTCATATNGTAAATGAAAATATTTGATTAAAAAACAAAGATTTTATCACGTCTATTTGATATAAAAATGTTGATTTCGATGTTTTCTCAGAATTTCAATTCACAAATAAAACATTCAAACAGAAATGAACACGTCTCTTTATTCAAATATCAAAATGTAACAAAAGTTTTTCTCTTTTTTTTTTAGATGAATCTTTTCATCAATTAATTAAATTTCGGAATTTAAAAACAAAAATTCATTTCGATCGTCAATTTATTTCATTTTCAAAGAAATGATTTTGCTTTTCAAAAATTCTTTTCATTGATTTTCCCTCAATGAGAAAAATTCAATCGCAAATTCTTCTAAAAAGACTTTGCCCATTTGTACGTGATGATTTGAAGTAATGACAATGAAATGATATTTGATCTCTCAAATCAAATCAACAGAATTTGCTTTGTCATGATTTTTAAATGAGAAAATCTCATCTTACACAAAGAATACAAATTTATTTTACAAATCCGAAATTTTCATGCGAGAAAATCAAAGAAATTATTCATTTTCAATTTCAGATCTTAATTAACAATTAAATTCTTCTTTTTGTTTCCTCAATTTTGATAAATATCAAATTAATTATTTGAATTTTCTTATAAATTCCTATGAGATCAAAATTCCAAATCTCATTTTTATAAATATTCATCAAATTTTCATTTCAATTTATGATTTTATTCGAATCCTTTTTTGTTAAATATTATCTTTTAGATATTAAAAGTTCTCTCATTATTTATTTTATTTCATTTGAATAACCAAAATTCTTCGTTTTCAAATTATTTGTTTGGAACTGATCTTCATCAACAAGAAATTCTCAATGAAAATCGAAGTGATCATCATTGTTGACGCCATTTGCAACGATAAAACTTAAATTGATGAACTTTTCAATAGAATAAGTTTCTTGTCGAGAAAATATTCCATTATTAACACCTAAAGATTACATAGAAGTGCTTCGTAGCATCATTTGGAACGATGAGATTCTCACTGATGATGGAAATTAGTTGAGAATTCAATTCAATTTCGTAGGAAACCAAAGATTTAATTTGAGAAATTTCTACGACAGAAAATCATACAAATTTCGAATGGAGAAATATAAAGACAAACATCAGTTTACATTTCACATTGTTTTCTTTACTTCAGCAAATGTTTCTGAACGATCGATTCAGTGTTTTTGAGCAAATACCAATGAATAGATTAAGAAAAAGATCAATAAGGAGAGTATCGACTCACATTGGAAGAGAAAAATTCAAAAATGTTAGAGAAGATTCACATAAAATAGAAAGAAAATCTTAAATGTTAAAGGAGAAAACAAAGAAAGATCAGAAACAAAATTCGAGAGAAGTGACACAATTTTCAAAACTGATTCAATTTGCATAAAATGATCGTTTACTGATGAAAATGATGAACAAAGACATTGAAATGTATCAATTTATATGCCGAAAAGATGTTTGTGTTGTGTTTGACATGGTTGAAAAGGTCTTTCTGGACAAAATAACATATAAACCGAAAGGAAATACGTTTGCCGGCATTACTATGAAATATTTAACTAAATTCTCGTGATGAAAACATATTCAGATTGATAATTGTATTTTATATTGATATTCGAAAGATTTTTGTGCGAATAGGCAAGTTCTGTTGATCTATTCAACACAAATATGACGATCTTATCAAACCAATCCTGTTGAAGGTGAGAGGGCAGTCTTTGTCATCGATGGAAATTTCGCAATACTATGAATTGCGTAAGAATTCAATAACATAACGTAATTTTTGGAGTATTTAAGTGTGAGACTATGTGTTGAAAAACTCGCTTTCAAACTCTATTCTGCTATATTAGCTTCTATAACATGCAAATCTTCATTCGCAATGCTGCCAAATTACTGGCAGTCAATGTTGAACAAGACGACACTGTCCAAGATGTATATGTAAGTTTGCACCATTGAGGTTTTCGATTGTTATTTGAAAGTTGTTGCTATTTCTAGGAATATGTTGCACAAGAATCAGGCTGTGAAATGACTGACCTTTTACTAAGCGTCCGTGGAACGATTTTAAATAATGAGCAAACAATTGAAGAAGTCATCTTCGTTCCGGGCACTGTTCTCGATGCTACTGTTAAAGTTCGAGGTGGTAAAACTCACGGACGAATAAATAATGCTGGCAAAGTTAAAAATCAGACACCAAAAGTATGTTTCTTCTTTTCAATATTTGAGAAATTCTTAAAATAATGATTGACTTTGTTTCTTAAAGGTTCCCCCTCAAGAGAAACCGAAGAAGAAAACCGGCCGTGCCCGCCGCCGAGAACAATATGCTCATCGATTCAGCAATAAAGTAGCTGTACCAAGCGGCTTTCGCGTCGGACCCAACTCTAACTATCAACTACCAGCCACGGCATAAAACTATATAAGCAATGAGAACACTTTTTTTTAATTTTACTTTGATCAGTGAGAATTTTTACGCAAATGTTTGATAATAAAACTTAGCTCACCGTGCTAATGATATATTAATGAAACGTATGTAGAGAAATCACCATTCTTTTATGCCGGTTTCGCGGTAGTGAATGCATGCATGCAATACAGGGTGGATCTACCTACTATCAGAATCTACTCATTCTCAGCAGATAAAACTGATTCTATAATTCTACATCGCCATCTATTCGACCTACTCTAGAGCTGTGAAGAAGCTATACAATTCGTTAGTGAATCTTTGAATTACGATATTTCGGAGATCAAGATAGCAGTGTTGATTTTGCATTTTACATTCCATACATATTATATAAATAGAGAACGTGTGAGGAAATTTTGTAGAAATACAAATGAAAAGCAGAAGCATCATCATCTTTTCCATCCTGCTCTTTTTCATATTCAAATATTACCGATTATGAGAACAACACGAGTACTCTCAGTTTTCGTTGCCACTGTTAAATCTAATACCTTTTCATAATATAGGCGAAATAAGAGATCAGGAACGAAGCACAGCTCGCTTCTTACGATGAACTTTTTGTGGATGCTGATCAGTATGTCTGAACTGGACTCTAAATTTTAGAATAAAGACTGCTCAATATTGAGCTGAGAAAAGCACAAGCTACTGTAGTATAATGGTAGTATCACGGTTTGTCGGACCGAAGACCAGGGTTCGATTCCCTGCAGTAGCGACTACAGGTATTGAATCATGTCAGTGTGATTTTGGAAAACGATAACTACAGTTCGGTACATGTGTTTGAAATGTTTACGTTTGAGGAAATGACATCATGTCATATTTCTATATGCCATAAACAATAATAATAACCATACATTCACTGCTAATGAAAAATTACACCCGTTCGCTGACTTTTTTTTTCTTTTCATATACAGGTAAAGGAAATAGCGCTCGTTGGAAATTTCTTTTGCTTCAGTTACCATTCCTCGACATTGAAGATGAACTGAAAGTAATGCTACAATTTTGTGTATCAATCACAATACATTTAAAAAATAACAAAAAATGAGTCTAGGTTTTGTCAGTCAACGAATAGGTCACTGCAGAACCAATCTAGATATATTCGGCAGCCGATGTTTACGTGGCTCGATTCGTCTTATGGTCCATAGGGTATCAGTACAATTGATACGCTCACGACGAGACAGAAAGCTGTATGGAACATAGAAATAGCCATCAGATCCCTTAAAAAAAGTAGTTATTGATCATCAAAGATATTGCATGAAGAAAACTAGATTTTGTTCATACCCAGTTTGTTCCCCAGGAGTTTCGCATGATGAAATGTTGCTTTCTTCGATCATAACCAACAATCAGAACGGTGTGAAGATTTCTTACGTCAATAGTATTATCGTTCAGTCGGCGCACATCTAAGAAACCGTTGTTAGTTGTAATGATTTGTACGGTCTCATCATCCATTATAATATCAATTGGAACTGGTATTTGATTGTGTAAACAAGTTTCAATCGCTTCAATCGTAATTGGAACACGAAGTAAAACAGCTGTGTATTTTCTCGCTTGTTGATAGGCTGTATGATGTGGTTGTTCACGTAATGAGTGCCAACGACTAGACCAAAATTCTTCCTCACATGCTCCGTACTCTCTGATACCTAGAGCAACACTNCATGATATTTCTAACTCGAAGCTGTTCGTATTGCAACGATTAGTAATAAAGCTTTGGACGACGCCTGTCAATGGCTTATCAAACAATTCTACTGATGAAAAAAAAACTAGAAACATTTCTAATGCTCGATTTACATCCAATGTTCCACAAAGTAAATGTTGTAAAGTCGTATGAAGTTATTGAATAGAACTTCAATCACCATATATCCTAATCCATAAGTTAGACGTTTGTCACCTTCGACAATCTTTTTAGATAATATTGTGGCCGTCTTCACACAGCTGTACTCAAAAAATACCGACGCTCTTATATGTTCATGTTCAACGATAAGAGTTCCGAACACTATTGTATTTTATCCAGTTTATTCAATTTGTGAGTAAACAATCGATTGAAACATTGTATCTCCTCAAAACAAGTATCTATGGTGCATCGAATTTTCGAACAACAGCATAGGTCTCAGGTGAGTTACTTCTGGTACCATGTTATTCCGCAATGTTATGTTTTGTTTGTTTTCTGCTCTTGTTTTAACGACGATGGTAGTTTAGATATTATTTTTACGAAAAGTTTTCTTTACCGAATGCGTGTATTTCTTGGAGATGCACATCAATGTTTTTTCAAGAACAAATATTGATTTCGGAAGAAGAATCTTCTTTTACTTACGCAATACGGTACAGCTGATTTTGACAACGACGGTTTGAGAAAAAATACAAGTGCTGTACAACTTCGAGTTAGAAATATCATGCTTTATGTAATTGTAGTTCGAACATCTGCAGATAGAAATCTATTCTTCAAAGCTGAATCATGAATTTATATAGTTCAATTGAAAATATAACTTCCGAGATTATTTTCATGAAAAACTGATTCAATTTGCATAAAATGATGGATTAACAATGAAAATGACGAACAAAGACATTGAAATGTGTCAATTTATACGTCGAGAAGATGTTTGTGTTGTGTTTGACATGGTTGAATAGATATTTCTGGACAAAACAACATAAAAACCGAAAGAAAATACGTTTGCCGGCATTACTATGAAATCTTTAACTAAATTCTCGTGATGAAAACATATTCAGATTGATTATTGTATTTTATATTAATATTTGAAAGTGATTTCAAAAGATTTTTATGCGAATAGACAAGTTTTGTTGACCTATTCAACACAAATATGAAGATCTTATCAAATCGATCATGTTGAAGGTGAGAGGATGGATCTATCAACTATCAGAATCTACTCATTCTCAGCAGATGAAACCGATTCTATAATTGTGCACTGTCATCTATTCGACCTACTCTAGAGCTGTGAAGAAGCAATACAATCTGTTGGTGAATCTTTGAACTACGGTATTTCAGAGATCATCGCATTTTACATTCCATACATATTATATACAATAGAGAACGTGTGAGGAAATTTTGTAGAAATACAAATGGATAGCAGAAGCACCATTATCTTTTCCATCCTGCTCTTTTTCATATTCAAATATTACCGATTATGAGAACAACACGAGTATTCTCAGTTTTCTTTGCCACTGTTAAATCTAATACCTTTTCATAATATAAACAAAAGAAGAGATCAGGAACGAACCACAACTCGCTTCTTACGATAAACTCTTTGTGGATGCTCATCAGTATGTCTTAACTGGGCTCTTAATTTTAGAAAGAAGACTGCTCAGTATTGAGCTGAGAAAAGCACAAGCTACTGTAGTATAATGGTAGTATCACGGTTTGTCGGACCGAAGACCAGGGTTCAATTCCCTGCAGTAGCGAGATATCTTTTTTCATTTCATCATTCACTAATTATTTGTAACATAATCACTCACTTCGTACTGTAATTGCATCATATGAAGCGTACAGAACACAAACATTGCTTTTCGTTCTATGAATATGACTCATGTCGTTTTTCATATCTATCACTACAGTCTACATTATACATACGATTTCATGTCAATGGTTAGTTGACTTTTCTTTTTGTGTAATATTCTTCCTTTTTTCTCAGTCAGTGAAGTGCTTTTGGAGAGATTCAGAGTGTCATTGGTTAATCTATAGACAAAAAACCCTCACCCACACCTTCAATAGATGCTTTCACACATGTTTTGATGATTGTCATAGATTGATTTTAGTATCATATATCGACAGCTTAGTTTCAAATATCCTTCGATGGGGGGACGCAGAAAACAATAAATTGCTTCCGTTCTGTTGTAAATGACGTCGACATACTTTTCAATTTTGTTTTCAGTTGGATCCGAGTAATATTTGTTCAGACGATCAGCGTTATAATACGTGGTATGACTTTGAGGAGGAAGTAATTAATAGCATATATATATACTTACTTTTCGGCAATATGAAACATTCGAATTCTGAAATTGATCGTCTTCACAAAGCACAATTTTACGAATGATCTCATTGATTCTAATTATTGCGATATGCAGGTAAGTTTACACTATGTTCTATATATCTGAAAACCTTCCTATGTCCTTTCTCTTGTCAATGTTAGATTTGTCAATGTATTAGGGAATAGTAAGTACCAAAAATGGTTTCATCTTATAATGTGTAACATTGTATTCAAGTAGGTTGTCCCGACGGTTATAAATTAATAGATTTTGAAATACTTGGAGGAACTATTGATCCCATTCCATCTATATATCAAGGTCTTACTTGGCTAGATGCTTACTATATGATAGCTTCACTGGAACCAGGAAGCGGATATGAAGTTCCATTACGTAGCGGCGGATACATTGCTTTCAACGCACACGGAGCTCAGATGTCAATCGGTGCTCCTGCATCATCCAGTATCGCTGTACATTCATTTGTAGCGGCCGCGGCTTGGAATAACGATTTAGTTCTGACAATAACCGGTGATCGCAATGGGGCAACTGTTTATAGTGAACAAGTAATTCTCAACACTACTTCAGCAACAGACGTTGTATTAAATTGGACAAATATCGACAACATTTCATTTTCAACATCTGGAGGTGTTCCTGCAAATGCTAACTCAACTGGAAATGGTACACATTTTGCTATGGATGATCTATGCGTATTAAAAGAGTAAGCAGTGCAATGATTATCAATGATCAGACATTTTTTTTCTCTCACTATCTCTCTCTCTATAGGCAAAAGCGACAGCCAGAAATTCTATACAAATGTGATTATTGGGGTGATCCGCAATTAATTACATTTCCAAAACATGCCAATGAATTTGCTTCTAGTTCTTGGTGTCAAATCAATGGTTCATCAGTTCTTTTCGAAAATTCATATGTTCTAATCAATGTTTTTAACTCGGGTTCGAACAATGGAGATGTCATCACCGAAGTAAGTAAAAAGTACGCTTCTGAATCTGACATCTTTATTGAAACATGTAGTTCAACATGACATTCTTCGATTCTTATCATAATTCGATGTGTACATTTACACAAGAAAACGTTGCGGGAGAACTTCCTAACTGTGGATCAGGTAGTTTAAACATTGAATTAACCTCCAAGCAATGAAAATAAGTTCTTGTTATCTAATTTTCAGAAGTATCTATTGTTCAATCACCGAACAGCTTGAACGTTGCCTACAAGAAGGCATCATTTAGCGCTTGGATCAATTATAATGTAAGATACTAACAAAAAAAGTTGACGAGCATTTGTAGATTAACATTGTCTTACAGACATGGCACGGTGGACACTATAAATTCAATCTATTCACTACACTGAATCATATCAATGATCCTAGTACGACTGGTCTATGCATTGAAGGTTGTCCCAGCAAACGAATGGCTCCGCAACTGTTGCTAACAGATTCAACCACCGATCAAGAAATAGCGACGAGTGCAATAGCTAGTCATGTTTGTGATGCATATATTACAACAGCAGCACAACGTGTTTCTCAAAACAGTCCTGCTGTACAAATGACACCAGGTTATCTTCATGCGGTACGACGAGCGTGTATCATTGATGTTACTGTTACTGGAGATGCAGAAGTAATATCCTATACTTTTTCTTTTCTAATAATCAACATACATTTCTACTATAACGTTTAGTTCGCACGAGATTCTGCTGGTAATATCGTAACTGATATTTTGACACATACCAACGAACCTGATATCAACAATATTAGTCATCTAGTGCAAGATGCAACACAAGCCACTCAGCAAGTGTTAGAGCAAACTGAAACACAAGTTCAAACAATGATCGATGGTGCTATATGGCCGTGTTCACCAAATGCACCTGTTTGTATCATGCCATCGTTGATACGACGAAAGCAAGTTACAGTTTAAATTGCTAAAAATGTTTTTCATGCTTTAATTAAGAATAATAATAAAAACTCTGATGAGAAAGAAGAACCTTACGCTTTGAGCTTCATGCACAATTATAAAAGTGAAAGAATAAATAAGCGATTAAAGTAGAGAAGAGTTCGAAACGTTTTAACGTCGTATGCATTGTTTTCTTGTTGATAATTCTCCATCGGTATTTGTAAATCTTATTTCTGCACATTGGCACTGACAACAATCGGAATCATATTGGCATTTACCTTTTACTGGACAACTATTGCCACAAACTGGTGTGATGTTGGGATTAACGCACGAACCGTATGTTTCCTCTTGACTATGTCGAAAGCATTGGCATCTATCCGTGCTGAGTCGGCAACAATCGGCATCTACTGTACAGTTCTGAACAGCACAACAACCGCTTGATGTAGGTGCAACTGTTGTAGATGGTTGTGTGGTGACATCGGTTGTGGAATTCGTTCGTGTAGTAGGACAACTCGATGAGGAAGGATTTGATAAACAAAAAATCGTATTGTTGCCACCAAGGCAGTATTGTGATTGAGGATTATAGCAAACACCATCGCAGAGATGGTTTCCAATAGGACATACTGTACTATTCTCACTGAAACAAATACTTGTAGCGTTATCATAACACTTCTTTTGTGAACCGCATGCATTGACATATCGGTTGGTATAGTAATAATTCCAGAAGTAGAAGCCAGGACAAACTGTTTGATTATTGGCACACGTTGAATTATAGTTTGTCAAGCATTGTGTTCCACATGCATAGAATGGAGAACAAAGTGTATCGTTTCCACATATAAGTTGTGATGAATTGTAGCAGTTAAGACCAGTTGGATATGATTGAAAATAACCATACGTTTTCACGTTGCAAACTGATTCTCCATTGTTACAAACTTTTGTATTGTTATAGCAGTATTGCGAGCTTGAATAGCATGTTCCATTACATGAATTGATACAGCTTACAATGCCATTAGTACAAGTTTGCGCATCAGGATTATAGCAGGTAGATCCACATAGCCGCGAATTGAGACCCTGGCAAACAGTTGTACCATTCAAACACACACTGGTTGTGTTGTCATAGCAAGTCTTTTGTGAACCACATACATTGACGTATCGATTGGTATAGTAATAATTCCAGAAGTAGAACCCGGGACAAACCGTTTGATTATTGGCACAAGTCGAATAATAGTTCGTCAAACATTGTGTTCCACATGCATATAGTGGGGAACAGAGGGTATCATTTCCACATATAAGTTGTGATGAATTGTAGCAGTTAAGACCAATTGGATATGATTGAAAATAACCATACGTTTTCACGTTGCAAATTGATTCACCATTGTTACAAACTTTTGTATTGTTATAGCAGTATTGCGAGCTTGAATAACATGTTCCATTACACGAATTGATACATTGAATACTGCTGCCACTGGCAGAGCAGCCTTGCGTGTTCGGATCATAACAACCTACCGTTCCACATGCCAGCTGACCATTGGGACAAGTTAACGACTGTACACTGGTAATCAGTAGGAAAAGTATAAAACTAATACTAAACATTGTATGTTAGATGTATTAAATATTCATATGCTTATATAGATCTTTGATAATTGTTAGTGTTGACCGTGTACCTGTTACCCTGCTGATATTGACAGAGCATTTATTGTGAATTGGGAAGTAAAATTTCGTGATAAATATTGACATTCGCTTCTTTGACTATTCATCTATTCCTGTGATTTTGCTGATTTACGCATTCAGTCGGAGCTTCCTACGATGATAATAATAATAATATCGACTTGAAACAATCTTTTGTGAATAATTGTAATCGTTCTCCGTAGGACGTTTTGGAATTAGCAGTAGGTTACTCGTTTATTTAACAGAATAGTTGCGCGCCTAAGGGTGAGTCTGATCATAGAGAAAGGCAGTAAATTATTCAATTGATATCGGAAAGCGCAGTACGATCTATATGTTCAACTGTTAGAACGATTTCTATCCACCTGGAAGAGGAAACGAATATCATCTCGGTTTCACCCCTTGCAACATTCGTTGTTCATAGAAAAAAAAACTCAAGAGATACCATAATATTTCATGGAGTGTTTGATAGATATAACCGTTTCTGTTTATTAGTAAATATATGTCTTCATGAGAGATAGAAGTCCTATCGAAAATAAAGAAGTCAAGTACTTTTGGGAACAAACAGCCGAACTGGCTGCCACCGATGATTGCTGCTGCTCTTGTTTTTGTGGTTGTTGTTGAAGAAGTGAATATGGCATAAGCTGACCACCTCCAATAAGTGACATGATTGATCCATTCAACCAGTTGTTTGCTGTAGAATTCGAATCATAAGTTATATTGTATCCGTTACTGATGATATTCGTTAAATTTACGACTGCCGACGAAATATTTTGCAATGCCGTGTTGCCTGTAAGTGTCCATGTCGAAGTGAAATCCAGAGAGACGCTAATAAATGATTGTCCATAGCCTGAGTAAGCATCGCCACTCCAATTCGAATATTGAATGAGAGTCCAACTAATACTACTTCCATTGTAGGCAATAAGACTACCGTTAAGATTGCATTGGGCCACAGTTACGTTCACAATAGCAGGCAGAAGATTTGAATTATCAGCATAACCTGCATAGTAATTGAATTCTTGTGTGACTTGTGAATAGTTGGCTGTAATCAGAATGCCAGATGTGGTGTTGATCACGGTATTAAAGAGGTACGCAGTGGCTATTACATTTCCAAACCATAAGGCTGGCATGATGTTACCGAGTGTAGTCAATCTGGAGTTGATAAAACTTACCATAGCCCCATTTTGTCGAATCATTGAGCTAAATATGACCGTACCGCCGAGAAGTCCGGCAGTCAAATGACAATTGATAAATGTGGATATCTGTGGTCCATCAGAGAACAGTGCTGGTGATCTCTCTGCACGACCGATAACGTTAGTAGCTGTAATAGTTCCCAGAGCATAAAAAATAGCACTTCCAATGCCGCTTGTATGGGCAATTGAATTGGAAACGATAACATAACCAGCTGGTGAATCACCCGAAAATGATGAGCAACGATTTCCACCAGAATAGTGACTAATGTAGTTTCCAACGATTGTTCCGTATCCACCAGCATAAAGTCCGTGAGCTGCTGGTCCAGAGCTGTATAGAACGGAATTCTCAATATAAACGTACGAACCGTTTCCATACGAATAAATATTTGCTGCACCATTGTGTGTGGTTATGTTCAAATGATCAAAGTATGAACTCGAGCCATTTTGAACATTGATCGCTGCATTGACACCAAAGAAACTAGCTTGAAGTAGATCTGATGAGTAACCTTGTTTATAGATGTTCACAAATGACATATTTAATTGAGCACCATTGCCAACTACAATAACACTTGTGTCATTGCCCGTCGCTGAAATGGTCTCATAGCTAATAGAGAGAGCAGATCCATTGGTCGTGAATGAACGTGTTGATTTAAGTGACGATTTGAGATACATTGTCGGCATTACATTGTAATCAGCTGTGATTGCATTATCTACTGCATCATTAGCGAGATTAATATAATCACTTGGATCGTCAATAGTAATCGAGGTAAAACTTAGGTGTATCAACGTACAAAAGAACAAAAAAACATATAACGACATACGACAAGTCTCGTACAACAATCGATGATGGATGTGTCAGAGAACTGTGCTTATTTATACAGTTCCATATATAAAACATGAATGGAAAAGGATGCAAACACTAAACGACATTAATTATTCTTTTTTTATGAATTCTGATTCGTGTGAGTATATATGCGTGTGTAGACTTGTGTATGAAAACAAAAAATAATTGAGAACTACCATCGAATATAAAAGAAGAAATAAAAATCATGCGCACAGCTTGTACTTTTGGTTTGAGCTCGATCATTAGTGAATCATATTAATAGCTTTGAATCAGTAGGTGTGGAATCAGGAATACATATGCAACAAAAAGGACATTTATGTTTATTCATGATCATACTTTTTATTATCGAAAGCATCAATTGAAAAGCAAATAAACCATCTATTCAGCAGCAATATTTTGCTAGAAACATGGAAAAATATCACAGAGCTTTACTTGAGCACACCAAGAAACCAAAAAAAGGATAAAATGGCGCACTTATTGCAGATATAATTCATAGGAAGACTAACATTTTTAAATGACGTATACGATAAAACTATGTCTGTTCGAACGAACTAATCAATGGTGCATCTATATACATTGAAAAGACTTGGGTGTTCTATTACAAGTGCTTTTTTCTCATTAGTGAGCCATATAAACGGCTAGAGATGCAATACGAAGAGTATCTATGCATTGACATAGTTAATGAAAATCAATCCTTATCTATTACATATTGAAATATATATGTAATCAAAAAATACGACGTAATTTTAGTTTGGATTGGCATTCATAAAGATTACCATTTTGAGAAAAACAATTCGAAGCAGATTGATTAATATCAATGCTACTGTACTCTGTCTGTCGATGTATGCCGGTTTTTATACTCGAAACTTTTCTCATACAGCATGCAATCGCTTCTTGGCCGTTGTTCACCAATTCTAGTGTTCAACTGTTGGGTCTATTTCCAGATGCTGAAAATACGACCGAGCCGACCGACTTTTCGGTTCATCCTCGTGCGATGTTCATGGCTGCCATAGTTCTCGCACAAAGATACGGCATAACAGTCGATAGAGAATTCATTGGCTGGGATATCGCGCAAACAGGTGGTAATGCTATTGGTGCTGTCAGAAGCACATGCCAAAAAGTAGCCAGTTCCGACATTATTGGTATTGTGGGACCAGCGTATTCTCGAGAAACAGCTGTTATTGCTCCGTTCGCTGAAAGTCTCAACATTCCAATAATATCTCATGCTGCAACAAACCCGAGCTTATCCGATCGAAATGCATATCCAACTTTTTATCGAACGGTTCCCTCTGATGCAAGTGTAACATTGCCGATTGTAGAATTATTCCTTCGATATAGTTGGAAATCGTGTGTGATCGTTTATCAGAATGACGAATTCGGAGCAGGTGCTGTCGAAGCGATCAGTGATGCATTCAGTGACAATAATTTGGTTGTCGCTCAATTAATTGTATTCGATATTGCCACGAAGAAAATTCGAGGTGATCTAAAAGATCTTTTATCAGCTACGTCAACGCGAATTGTTATTTTATGGACTGATGAATATCATACTTCTCTAGTTTTACAAATTGCACTTCAAGCTGATGTACTTGGTCCGCGTTTCACCTGGATAATGAGTATGACAATCTCATTAAGTGCATTCAACGAAACCTCACGTCCAAAATTGATCGGAATGTTAACTGTCGAGCCTGTCATCGGAAGTGTGATCAGTTCTCCTTATAATACAACATTATTGGATGCGGCTTATCAGATTTGGCAACAATACGAGCCGGAAACGTTTCCCGGCGCAGCAAACGTTAATTATTATGCGTTATTTGCATTCGACGCTACTTGGACATTGATCAAATCCACATATCAACTATGTCGTAATCGATCAAAACCATGTGTATCAATTGTGAATAGTTCCTACTGTTTCGATCGGCACTTCTCAGATGGCACCAATCTTTGTAACATAATTAGTGCGACTGAATATCTCGGCGCGTCTGGTCCGGTGAAATTTTCACGTAATTCAACTGATCGGATGGATGGTATTTATTACATTGTTAGGAATATTCAATCATCGATGAATAGCATTCGTTTTGTACCCGTGTTACAGTGGTCGTATTCCAATAGTCTAACATCATATACACATGCCGATGTAGTCGTCTGGCCTGGGAATGTCTTGACACCTCCAACTGGTCTTGCTGATCTCGAAGACGTGAATCTACGTATTTGTACAATTGAGTCAAAACCGTTTACAATGCGAACAGATATCATTGAGAATAATCAAACAAAATTAGTTGGTTACATCCCTGACTTGCTAGATCTGTTACAAGCGAGTACAAAGTTTATTCCGCATATAGTTTATCCATCAGACAATCAAACGTATGGTGGATTGGTAGCTGCAGTTGCGAATGGTCTTTGTGATATTGCAATTGGTGATATTACAGTTACCGCTAAACGGCGAGAGATCGTGGATTTTTCCAGTTCTATCTATGATAACTCAATGCGAATCATTGTTCGGAAAACAGCGGCCGACAATGTGGATCTGTTCTCTTATATGAAACCGTTTTCGACCAATCTTTGGATTTCACTATTAGCTTGTCTCATCTTTTCCGGAATACTGTTTTGTATATTTGAGCGACAGGATAACGATGTTCTGCATAATCGATCAATTCCATCGTGTATTTTTTTGAGTATCTGGTTTTCAATCGGTAATCTGATGGGCTACGGTGTAGACTTCGATGTTCAAACAGCAGCTGGACGAATATTAACTGTTGGTCTGTATATCTTAAGTATCGTCCTGGTAGCGACGTACACGGCAAATTTAGCGTCGGATTTAACCATATCGAGATCTAAAGATATCATCTCGAGCATTGATGATGTGAGAAACGGAAAAGTAGCCTTTAGTCGCTTGGGTGTTCTGATAGAATCCTCGGCAGAAGAATACTATCTACGCGAGATCTCGGATGGCATTCGAAATTTTTATCCATTAAGATCATTAGATGATTTATTCAACAGCTTATTGAATAATAAAATCGACGCATCATTTTTTGATATCGGCTCTTTAGAATATGCAACAAATAATGTGTATTGCAATTTGTCATTAGTCGGGTCGGATTTTGCGGGCAGTGCATTTGGAATTGTTTATCCGAAAAAATGGTTGTATGCAAGCAATTTAGACGTTGTTATTCTGTCGTTGAGGGAAACAGGTGTACTGGATGATTTAAAGCGAAAGTGGTTTCAGAAAAGCGTTTGCCAAGCTTCATCCTCAGATGACGTATCGACGAGTATTGAAGTTGGAACGATGAGTGGTTTACTTCTAACTTTTGCTGTACTGAATGCCATATCTGTCATAGTTTTTCTATGGACAAAACGAATCATCATCAGAGAGTATGTAGAAAAAGTAGTATGCAGCCGTCGAATTAAACAGTAGCAAACTGTTTCGAATTTTGAATTGATGTTGTATCAAAATGCAGTATAGAGATATTTGTTTGCTTATCGTCCTCTATCTTGAGTAACAATATAAAATGTTGTTAGTGTCTTATATTCTTATCTTCAAAGTTCGTTGTATTCTTCACTTGTGAAAAAGTCATTTGAAAATAAAATGAGATTCTAGAACGATGCATGTTGTTAAATGGATCACACTTCTTTTTTTTATTCTGACATCAAGTCTCGGAGCTCCATATAAATCAGCAAGAACATGTGGTTATGACGTAAGAAATTATACAGTCGTAGTATGAACTATACCGACAAAATCATTATGATTTTAGTCATGTAACTTAGGAAAAGCAGATAAACTTAATGTTCATCTGGTTCCTCATACACACGATGATGTCGGTTGGCTTAAAACAATTGATCAATACTATTATGGATGTTAGTCGTGATTTAGTTGATCAAAGATGCATGCTTTCGAATTGATATCCTTTTAGCTCGTAGTGATATTGTCAATCGAGGTGTTCAATACATTATCGACTCAGTTATTCAGGCACTAGTGGATAATCCTGACCGTCGATATATCTATGTGGAAATGGCCTATTTTTGGCGTTGGTGGAACGAACAATCGGATGATATGCGTAATGTTGTCAAAGGACTGGTCAATGAAGGTGTAGATTCAGACAACATTGCATAGGAATGATGTTTAACTAGGTACTGTGTTTTAGGTCGTTTGGAGTTTATTTCGGGTGGGTGGTGCATGAATGATGAAGCAACAACGCATTACAATTCAATTATTGATCAGCATACTTTAGGTGCAGAATTCCTGCGTAATACATTTGGTGAATGTGCTCGACCAAAGCTTGGCTGGCAGATCGATCCTTTTGGACATTCTAGAGAGGTGGCTTCACTGTTTGCACAGGTTCTATCATCTTCTTCGGAAACTACTATATTGATAACAACATGTTTAGATGGGTTTTGACGGCCTGTTTTTTGGCCGTATTGATTACCAGGATCGAATACCACGCACTGCAGAAAAGAATTTAGAGATGGTGTGGAAAGCAAGCGCCAATTTAGGTCAGTCTTTCGTTTCACTAGGATCACGTTGCAAGTAATAATGGATTATTAGGCCGTCAAAGCTGGCTGTTTACCGGCGTTCTGCCACATGGCTACAGTGGCCCGAATTCGTTTTGCTTCGATATAAATTGTTCAGATCAGCCGATCATGGTACTGTATTAGTCTTATCATGTTTTCGTTTTACATTGGTTCGCATTTTAGGATGATAAAAGTTTGCATGACTACAATGTAGAAGAACGTGTTCAAGCATTCATCAATTCAGCACATGTTCAAGTGTGTGGCAAGCGATGCCTTCCGTTCATAATCTATTCCGTTATTGACTTTAGTCTCTGATCTATGCTACTAATCATATCATTATGACGATGGGTGATGATTTCCAAGATGTAAATGCAAATGAGAAATTCAAAAACTTGGATAAATTAATACAATATGTTAATCTTCAAGTACCAGAAGAAATCTTTTCGAATCTCTCGTATTTCTATAAATAGAGATTGTTTTTTTAGCAAGCAAATGGCAGTGATGTGAATGTGTTCTATTCCACTCCTTCCTGTTATTTGTACGCTCTAAACAAAGTTAATAGAGAATGGAAATCGAAAAATGATGACTTCTTCCCATACGCAAGCATTCCATTTGCATATTGGACAGGGTATTTCACCTCGAGGCCAGCATTCAAACGTTATGAACGCTACGCTAATAATATTCTTCAAGTAACACGGCAACTAAACGGATTTTCACAAATGAATCTACGAGATTCTATATTTTACTTAAGTAAGAAACATCTGCATTCAGTCGTTCTATTAACAACTATATGAATATGTTGAAAAGGTGAAGCAATGGGACTTGCACAACATCACGATGCTGTCAGCGGAACAGAAAAACAACATGTAGCCGATGATTACGCACAACGACTAGCGGATGGTATCGATCGGACGATGGTACGTACATAGTCATGAGTATTTGGATAATAAATCTTCTTGTAGGACGTCATCAATAATGCTTATGGAAAGTTATTACTTAAAGAAAATCGAACAGGGCCAATTGCTCATCAATTTTTATGTCCTTTTTCAAATATCAGCGAATGTCTTCCCATTGAAGGACAAAATGAGGTACAGAGGATACAAATTTCGTTGATTGGCAATGCAAATTTTTGTAGTTTGTATTAACACTTTGGAATCCAACTATTCATCCAGTGATAACTCACCCTCGTGTGCCAGTCACTCGACAGTATTTAATCTATGATCCATCAGGCACGATTATCCATGCTGAAGTATTTTCTATTCATGGAAATATGAAACAATTTAGATTTGATTCCTTTTTCAATAGTATCTACCGATTCCACAAACAATAAGAAACATTCCCGGCCGAACAAGCTCTGCTGCAAATCAATATGTCTTTCAAGCGTCATTACCAGCTCTTGGTTATAGTACTTACTATTTCAAAGCGCATACTGCAACTATCAACGAACAGATAAAAAAATCAACAGTAAATCAAGCGTGTATCCTTCAAAATGAAGTAAAAATACGAAATTCAATATATTTCGCTAAGAGACAATTTTCTTATTTGCAAAGCATCTGCGCGTAGAATTCAATGAATTAGGACACTTGAAACGTATTACTAACTTGGATAAGAATATTGTGGTTTCATTTACTGAACAAGGATTTTATTGGTACGCAAGTAAGTATTACATGTGCTTAATGTATTGTCCGAAGCAAACAGACTTCTTTTAGGTTATACTAGTAATCCTACAACACCGGAATTTCCGTCATCAGGTGCATATGTGTTTCGACCACTGTACCCTGAAGCTTTTCCTGTAAGTCCTTTGCGACAAATGTAAGTGACTTCGTTTACGACGTCTCATAAATCTATCTCGAAAATTCATCGTAGAAACTGTACGATCACAGACACAGTACAGAAAGCATCGATTATGTTCAACGATTGGATTAGTCAAGAGATTCATCTCTATCGTAATGCATCGACTCTCGAAATAGATTGGACAGTTGGGCCAATTCCAATCGATGATAATATAGGCAAAGAAATCATTATTCGTTATAATACAAATATCGATAGTGGATCTAAATACTACACGGATGCTAATGGACGTGAAGTACTCGAACGTATACGAAATCATCGACCGACATGGCCTTACTTTCCTGAAGTACCTATCACTGGCAATTATTATCCGATCAATAGTCGTATTTGGATTCGTGATCGGGAACGTCAATTGACGATTCTTACTGGTCAGTGTTTTTCCTAGTGCGCATAGCCTTGCTCNGATTATTGGGGCGATCCGCAATTAATTACATTTCCAAAACAGGCCAATGAATTTGCTTCTAGTTCTTGGTGTCAAATCAATGGTTCATCAGTTCTTTTCGAAAATTCATATGTTCTAATCAATGTTTTTAACTCGGGTTCGAACAATGGAGATGTCATCACCGAAGTAAGTAAAAAGTACCCTTCTGAATCTGAGATCTTTATTGAAACATGTAGTTCAACATGACATTCTTCGATTCTTATCATAATTCGATGTGTACATTTACACAAGAAAACGTTGCAGGAGAACTTCCTAACTGTGGATCAGGTAGTTTAAACATTGAATTGAGCTTCAAGCAATGAAAATAAGTTCTTGTTATCAAATTTTCAGAAGTATCTATTGTTCAATCATCGAACAGCTTGAACGTTGCCTACAAGAAGGCATCATTTAGCGCTTGGATCAGTTATAATGTAAGATACTAACAAAAAAAGGTGACGAGCATTTGTAGATTAACATTGTCTTACAGACATGGCACGGTGGACACTATAAATTCAATCTATTCACTACACTGAATCGTATCAATGATCCTAGTACGACTGGTCTATGCATTGAGGGTTGTCCCAGCAAACGAATGGCTCCACAATTGTTGCTAACAGATTCAACCACCGATCAAGAAATAGCAACAAGCGCAATAGCTAGTCATGTTTGTGATGCATATATTACAACAGCGGCACAACGTGTTTCTCAAAACAGTCCTGCTGTGCAAATGACACCAGGTTATCTTCATGCAGTACGACGAGCGTGTATCATTGATGTTACTGTTACTGGAGATGCCGACGTAATATCTTATACTTTTTCTTTTCTAATAATCAATATACATTTCCATTATGACGTTTAGTTCGCACGAGATTCTGCTAGTAATATCGTAACTGATATTTTGACACATGCCAAAGAACCTGATATCGACAACATTAGTCATCTAGTGCAAGATGCAACACAAGCCACTCAGCAAGTGTTAGAGCAAACTGAAACACAAGTTCAAACAATGATCGATGGTGCTATATGGCCGTGTTCACCAAATGCACCTGTTTGTATCATGCCGTCGTTGATACGACGAAAACAAGTTACAGTTTAAATTTCTAAAAATGTTTTACATGCTTTAATGAGAAAGAAGCACTTTACGCTTTGACCTTCATGCACAATGATAAAAGTGAAAGAATAAATGAGCGATAAAAGTAGAGAACAGTTCGAAACGTTCTAACGTCGTATGCATTGTTTTCTTGTTGATAATTCTCCGTCGGTATTTGTAAATCTTATTTCTGCACATTGGCATTCACAGCAATCGGAATCATATTGGCATTTACCTTTTACTGGACAACTGTCGCCACAAACTGGTGTAACATTGGGATTAACGCACGAACCATATGTTTCCTCTTGACTATGTCGAAAGCATTGGCATTTGTCCGTGCTGAGTCGGCAACAATCGGCATCTACTGTATAATTCTGAATAGCACAACAACCGCTTGATGTCGGTGCAACTGTTGTAGATGGTTGTGTGGTGACATCGGTTGTGGAATTCATTCGTGCAGTAGGACAACTCGGTGAGGAAGGATTTGACAAACAAAAAATCGTATGGTTGCCACCAACGCAGTATTGCGATTGAGGATTATAGCAGACACCATCGCAGAGATGGTTTCCAATAGGGCATACTGTACTATTTTCACTGAAACAAATACTTGTAGCATTATCATAGCACTTCTTTTGTGAATCGCATACATTGAGATATCGATTAGTATAGTAATAATTCCAGAAATAGAAGCCGGGACACACTGTTTGATTGTTGGCACAAGTCGAATCATAGTTTGTCAAACATTGTGTCCACATGCATAGAGTGGAGAACAGAGTGTATCATTTCCACATGTAAGTTGTGATGAATTATAGCAGTTAAGACCAATTGGATATGATTGAAAATAAGTGTATGTTTTGACATTGCAAACGGATTCTTCAATGTTACAAACTTTTGTGTTGTTATAGCAGTATTGCGAGCTTGAATAACATATTCCATTGCACGAATTGATACATTGAATATTGCTGCCACTGGCAGAGCAGCCTTGCGTGTTCGGATCATAACAGCCTACCGTTCCACATGCCAGCTGACCATTTGGACAAGTTAACGACTGTGCACTAGTAATCACTAGGAAAAGTATAAAACTAATACTGAACATTGTACGTTAGATGGATTTAATATTCATATGCTTATATAGATCGTTGATAATTGTTAGTTTTGACCGTGTACCTGTTATCCTGCTGATATTGACAGAGCATTTATTGTGAATTGGGAAGTATAATTTCGTGATAAATATGGACATTCGCTTCTTTGATTATTCATCTATTCCTTTGATTTTGCTGATTTATGCATTCAGTCGGAGCTTCCTACGGTGATAATAATAATGTCGACTTGAAACAATCTTTTGTGAATAATTGTAATCATTCTCAGTAGAGCGTTTTGGAATTTGCAGTAGGTTACTCGTTTATTTAACAGAATAGTTGGACGCCTAAGGGTGAGTCTGATCATAGAGAAAGGCAGTAAATTATTCAATTGGTATCCGAAAGCGCAGTACGATCTATATGTTCAACTGTTAGAACGGTTTCTATCCGCTTGGAAAAGGAAACGAATATCATCTCGATTTCACCCCTTGCAACATTCATTGTTTATAGAAAAACAAAATTCAAGAGAAACCATACTATTTCATGGAATGTTTGATAGATATAACTGTTTCTGTTTATCAGTAAATATATGTCTTCATGAGAGATAGAAGTCCTATCGCAAATAAAGAAATCAAGTACTTTTGGAAGAAAACAGCAGAACTGGCTGCTACCGATGATTGTTGCTGCTCTTGTTTTTGTGGTTGTTGTTCAAGAAGTGAATATGGCATAAGCCGACCACCTCCAATAAGTGACATGACTGATCCATTTAACCAGCTGTTTGCTGTAGAATTCGAATCATAAGTGATATTGTATCCGTTACTGATAATATTGGTTAAATTTACGACTGCCGACGAAATGTTTTGCAATGCCGTGTTGCCTGTAAGTGTCCATGTCGAAGTGAAATCCAGAGAGACGCTAATAAATGATTGGCCATAGCCTGAGTAAGCATCTCCACTCCAATTCGAATATTGAGTGAGAGTCCAACTAATACTACTTCCATTGTAGGCAATAAGACTACCGTTAAGATTGCATTGGACCACATTTACGTTCACAATAGCAGGCAGAAGATTTGAATTATCAGCATAACCTGCATAGTAATTGAATTCTTGTGTGACTTGTGAATAGTTGGCTGTAATTAGAATGCCAGATGTGGTGTTGATCACGGTATTATAGAGATACGCAGTGGCTATTACATTTCCAAACCATAAGGCTGGCATGGTGCTACCGAGTGTAGTCAATTTGGAGTTGATAAAACTTACCATAGCCCCATTTTGTCGAGCCATTGAGCTGAATATGACCGTACCACCGAGAAGTCCGGCTGTCAAATGACAATTGATGAATGTGGATATCTGTGGTCCATCAGAGAACAGTACTGGTGATCTCTCTGCGCGACCGATAACGTTAGTAGCTGTAATAGTTCCCAGAGCATAAAAAATAGCACTTCCAATGCCGCTTGTATGGGCAATTGAATTGGAAACGATAACATAACCAGCCGGTGAATCACCCGAAAATGATGAGCAACGATTTCCACCAGAATAGTGACTAATGTAGTTTCCAACGATTGTTCCGTATCCACCAGCATAAAGTCCGTGAGCTGCTGGTCCAGAGCTGTATAGAACGGAATTCTCAATATAAACGTACGAACCGTTTCCATATGAATAAATATTTGCTGCACCATTGTGCGTGGTTATGTTCAAATGNAATAGTGACTAATGTAGTTTCCAACGATTGTTCCGTATCCACCAGCATAAAGTCCGTGAGCTGCTGGTCCAGAGCTGTATAGAACGGAATTCTCAATATAAACGTACGAACCGTTTCCATATGAATAAATATTTGCTGCACCATTGTGCGTGGTTATGTTCAAATGATCAAAGTATGATCTAGATCCATTTTGAACATTGATCGCTGCGTTGACACCAAAGAAACTAGCTTGAAGTAGATCTGACGAATAACCATGTTTATAGATGTTCACAAATGACATATTTAACTGAGCACCATTGCCAACTACGATAACACTTGTGTCATTGCCCGTCGCTGAAATGGTCTCATAGCTAATAGAGAGAGCAGATCCGTTGGTCGTGAATGAACGTGTTGATTTAAGTGACGATTTGAGATACATCGTCGGCATTACATTGTAATCAGCTGTGATTGAATTATCTACTGCATCATTAGCGAGATTAATATAATCACTTGGATCGTCAATAGTAATCGACGTAAAACTTAGGTGTATTAACGTACAAAGGAACAAAAAAACATATAACGACATACGACAAGTCTCGTAGAACAATCGATGATGGATGTGTCAGAGAACTGTGCTTATTTATACAGTTCGATATATAAAAAATGAATGAAAAGGGATACAAACACTAAACGACATTGATTATTCTTTTTTTAATGAATTCTGATTCGTTTAAGTATATATGCGTGTGTGGACTTGTATATGAAAACAAAAAATAATTGAGAACTACCATCGAATATAAAAGAAGAAATAAAAATCATGCGCACAGCAGGTGATTAAGCATGCGCACAACTCGTACTTTTGGTTTGAGCTCGATCATTAATGAATCATATTAATAGCTTTGAATCAGTAGGTGTGGAATCAGGAATAAATATGCAACAAAAAGGGCATTTACGTTTATTCATGATCATACTTTTTATTATCTAAAGCATCAATTGAAAAGCAAATAAACCATCTATTCAGCAGCAATATTTTGCTATAAACATGGAAAAATATTACAGAGCTCTATCCGAGCACATCAAGAAACCAAAAAAACAGATGAAGACTAAAATTTTTAAATGACGTATACGATTAAACGATGTCTGTTCGAACGAACTAATCGATGCTGTATTCATATACATTGAAAAGACTTCTGCGTTCTATTACAAGTGCTTTTTTTCATTAGTGAGCTACACAAACGGCTAGAGACGCAATACAAAGAGTATCTATGGATTGACATAGTTAATGAAAATAAAATCCTTATCTATTACATATTGAAATATATATGTAAACAAAAAAGCGACGTAAATTTAGTTTGGATTTGCATTCATAAAGATTACCATTTTGAGAAAAACAATTCGAAGCAGATTGATTAATATCAATGCTACTGTGCTCTGTCTGTCGATGTATGCCGGTTTTTATACTCGAAACTTTTCTCATACAGCATACAATCGCTTCTTGGCCGTTGTTCACTAATTCTAGTGTTCAACTGTTAGGCCTATTTCCAGATGCTGAGAATACGACCGAGCCGACCGACTTTTCGGTTCATCCTCGTGCGATGTTCATGGCTGCCATAGTTCTTGCACAAAGATACGGCATGACAGTCGATAGAGAATCCATTGGTTGGGATATCGCACAAACGGGTGGCAATGCGATTGGTGCTGTCAGAAGCACATGCCAAAAAGTAGCCAGTTCCGACGTCATTGGTATTGTGGGACCAGCATATTCTCGAGAAACAGCTGTTATCGCTCCGTTTGCTGAAAGTCTCAACATTCCAATAATATCTCATGCTGCAACGAACCCGAGCTTATCCGATCGAAATGCATATCCAACTTTTTATCGAACGGTTCCCTCTGATGCAAGTGTAACATTGCCGATTGTAGAATTATTCCTGCGATACAGCTGGAAATCGTGTGTGATCGTTTATCAGAATGACGAATTCGGAGCAGGTGCTGTCGAAGCAATCAGTGATGCATTCAGTGACAATAACTTGGTTGTCGCTCAATTAATTGTATTCGATATTGCCACGAAGAAAATTCGAGGCGATCTGAAAGATCTTTTATCAGTTACGTCAACGCGAATTGTTATTTTATGGACTGATGAATATCATACGTCTCTAGTTTTACAATTTGCACTTCAAGCCGATGTACTTGGTCCGCGTTTCACCTGGATAATGAGTATGACAATCTCATTAAGTCCATTCAATGAAACCTTACGTCCAAAATTGATCGGAATGTTAACTGTCGAGCCTGTCATCGGAAGTGTGATCAGTTCTCCTTATAATACAACATTATTAGATGCGGCTTATCAGATTTGGCAACAGTACGAGCCGGAAACGTTTCCCGGCGCAGCAAACGTTAATTATTATGCGTTATTTGCATTCGACGCTACTTGGACATTGATCAAATCCACATATCAACTATGTCTTAATCGATCAAAACCACGTGTATCAATTGTGAATAGTTCCTACTGCTTCGATCGACACTTCTCAGATGGCGCCAATCTTTGTGACATAATTAGCGCGACTGAATATCTCGGCGCGTCTGGTCCAGTGAAATTTTCACGTAATTCAACCGATCGAATGGATGGTATTTATTACGTTGTTAGAAATATCCAATCATCGACGAATAGTATTCGTTTTGTACCCGTGCTACAATGGTCGTATTCCAATAGTCTGACATCCTATACACATGCCGATGTAGTCGTCTGGCCTGGCAATGTCTTGACACCTCCAACTGGTCTTGCTGATCTCGAAGACGTGAATCTTCGTATTTGTACAATTGAGTCAAAACCGTTTACAATGCGAACAGATATCATTCAAAATAATCAAACAAAATTAGTTGGTTACATCCCTGACCTGTTAGATCTCTTACAAACGAGTACAAAGTTTATTCCGAATATAGTTTATCCATCAGACAATCAAACGTATGGTGGATTGGTAGCTGCAGTTGCGAATGGTCTTTGTGATATTGCAATNAAACGCGAACAGATATCATTCAAAATAATCAAACAAAATTAGTTGGTTACATCCCTGACCTGTTAGATCTCTTACAAACGAGTACAAAGTTTATTCCGAATATAGTTTATCCATCAGACAATCAAACGTATGGTGGATTGGTAGCTGCAGTTGCGAATGGTCTTTGTGATATTGCAATCGGTGATATTACAGTTACCGCTAAACGGCGAGAGATCGTGGATTTTTCCAGTTCTATTTATGATAACTCAATGCGAATCATTGTTCGGAAAACAGCGGCTGACAATGTGGATCTGTTCTCTTATATGAAACCGTTTTCGACCAATCTTTGGATTTCACTATTAGCTTGTCTCATCTTTTCCGGAATACTGTTTTGTATATATGAGCGGCAGGATAACGATGTTCTGCATAATCGATCAATTCCATCGTGCATTTTTTTGAGTATCTGGTTTTCAATCGGCAATCTGATGGGCTACGGTGTAGACTTCGATGTTCAAACAGCAGCTGGACGAATATTAACTGTTGGTCTGTATATCTTAAGTATCGTCCTAGTAGCGACGTACACGGCAAATTTAGCGTCGGATTTAACCATATCGAGATCTAAAGATATCATCTCGAGCATTGATGATGTGAAAAACGGAAAAGTAGCCTTTAGTCGCTTGGGTGTTTTGATAGAATCCTCGGCAGAAGAATATTATCTACGCGAGATCTCGGATGGCATACGAAATTTTTATCCATTAAGAACATTAGATGATTTATTCAACAGCTTATTGAATAATAAAATCGACGCATCATTCTTTGATATCGGCTCTTTAGAATATTCAACAAATAATGTGTATTGCAATTTGTCCTTAGTCGGATCGGATTTTGCGGGCAGTTCATTTGGAATTGTTTATCCAAAAAAATGGTTGTATGCGAGCAATTTAGACATTGTTATTCTGTCGTTAAGGGAAACAGGTGTACTGGATGATTTAAAGCGAAAGTGGTTTCAGAAAAGCGTTTGCCAAGCTTCATCTTCAGATGACGTATCGACGAGTATTGAAGTTGGAACAATGAGTGGTCTACTTCTGACTTTTGCTGTACTGAATGCCATATCTGTCATAGTTTTTCTATGGAGAAAACGAATCATTATCAAAGAGTATGTAGAAAAAGTAGTATACAACCGTCGAATTAAACAGTAGCAAACTGTTTCGAATTTTGAATTAATGTTGTATCAAATGTAGTATGAAGATATTTGTTTGCTTATCGTCCCCCTATCTTGAGTAACAATATAAAATGTTGTTAGTGTCTTATATTCTTATCTTCAAAGTTCGTTGTATTCTTCACTGGTGAAAAAGTCATTTGAAAATAAAATGAGATTCTAGAACGATGCATATTGTTAAATGGATCACAATTCTTTTTTTTATTCTGACATCAAGTCTCGGAGCTCCATATAAATCAGCAAGAACATGTGGTTATGACGTAAGGAATTGCACAGTCGTAGTATGAACTATATCGACAAAATCATTATGATTTTAGTCATGTAACTTAGGAAAAGCAGATAAACTTAATGTTCATCTGGTTCCTCACACACATGATGATGTCGGTTGGCTTAAAACAGTTGATCAATACTATTATGGATGTTAGTCGTGATTTAGTTGATCAAAGATGCATGCTTTCGAATTGATATCCTTTTAGCTCGTAGTGATATTGTCAATCGAGGTGTTCAATACATTATCGACTCAGTTATTCAGGCACTAGTGGATAACCCTGACCGTCGATATATCTATGTGGAAATGGCCTATTTTTGGCGTTGGTGGAACGAACAATCGGATGATATGCGTAACGTTGTCAAAGGACTGGTTAATGAAGGTGTCGATTCAGACAACATTGTATAGGAATAATGTTTAACTAGGTACTGTGTTTTAGGTCGTTTGGAGTTTATTTCGGGTGGTTGGTGCATGAATGATGAAGCAACAACGCATTACAATTCCATTATTGATCAGCACACTTTAGGTGCAGAATTCCTGCGTAATACATTTGGTGAATGTGCTCGACCAAAGCTTGGCTGGCAGATCGATCCTTTTGGGCATTCTAGAGAGGTGGCTTCACTGTTTGCACAGGTTCTATCATCTTCTTCGGAAACTACTATATTGATAATAACATGTTTAGATGGGTTTTGACGGTCTATTTTTTGGCCGTATTGATTATCAGGATCGGATACCACGCACTGCAGAAAAGAATTTAGAAATGGTATGGAAAGCAAGCGCCAATTTAGGTCAGTCTTTCTCTTCACTAGGATCACGTTGCAAGTAATAATGGATTATTAGGCCGTCAAAGCTGGCTGTTTACCGGTGTTCTGCCACATGGCTACAGTGGCCCGAATTCGTTTTGCTTCGATATAAATTGTTCAGATCAGCCGATCATGGTACTGTATTAATCTTATCATGTTTTCGTTTTACATCGGTTGGCATTCTAGGATGATAAAAGTTTGCATGACTACAACGTAGACGAACGTGTTCAAGCATTTATCAATTCAGCACATGTTCAAGTATGTGACAATCGATGCTTTCCTTTCATAATCTGTTCCGTTATTGACTTTAGTCTCTGATCTATGCTACTAATCATATCATTATGACGATGGGTGATGATTTCCAAGATGTAAATGCAAATGAGAAATTCAAAAACTTGGATAAATTAATACAATATGTTAATCTTCAAGTACTGGAAGAAATCTTTTCCAATCTCTCATATTTCTCTAAATTGAGATTGTTTTTTTTTTAGCAAGCAAATGGCAGTGATGTGAATGTGTTCTATTCCACCCCTTCCTGTTATTTGTACGCTCTGAACAAAGTTAATAGAGAATGGAAATCAAAAAATGATGACTTCTTTCCATACGCAAGCATTCCATTTGCATATTGGACGGGGTATTTCACCTCGAGACCGGCATTCAAACGTTATGAACGCTACGCTAATAATATCCTTCAAGTAACACGACAACTAAACGGATTTTCACAAATAAATCTACGAGATTCTATATTTTACTTGAGTAAGAAACATCTACATTCCGTTTTTCTGTTAACAACTATGAATATGATGAAAAGGTGAAGCAATGGGACTTGCGCAACATCACGATGCAGTCAGTGGAACAGAAAAACAACATGTAGCTGATGATTATGCACAACGACTAGCGGATGGTATTGGCCGGACGATAGTACGTACATATTCACGAATATTTGGATAACGAATCTTCTTGTAGGACGTCATCAACAATGCTTATGGAAAATTATTACTTAAAGAAAATCGAACAGGACCAATTGCTCATCAATTTTTATGTCAATTTTCAAATATCAGTGAATGTCTTCCCATTGAAGGACAAAATGAAGTACAGAGGATATAAATTTCATTGATTGGAAATGCAAATTTTTTTAGTTCGTGTTAACACTTTGGAATCCAACTATTCATCCGGTGACAACTCACCCTCGTGTGCCAGTCACTCGACAATATTTAATCTATGATCCATCAGGCACGATTATTCATGCTGAAGTATTTTCTATTCATGGAAATATGAAACAATTGAGATTTGATTTCTTTTTCAATAGTATCTACCGATTCCACAAACAATAAGAAACATTCCCGGCCGAACGAGCTCTGCTGTAAATCAATATGTCTTTCAAGCATCATTACCAGCTCTTGGTTATAATACTTACTATTTCAAAGCGCGTAATGCAACTATCAACGAACAGATAAAAGAATCAACAGTAAATCAAGCGTGTACCCTTCAAAATGAAGTAAAAAATACGAAATTCTATATATTTCACTAAGAGACAATTTTCTTATTTGTAAAGCATCTGCGCGTAGAATTCAATGAATTAGGACACTTGAAACGTATTACTAACTTGGATAAGAATATTGTGGTTTCATTTACTGAACAAGGATTTTATTGGTACGTGAGTAAGTATTACATGTGCTCAATATATTGTCCGAAGCCACAAACTTCTTTCAGGTTATACTAGTAATCCTACAACACCGGAATTTCCGTCATCAGGTGCATACGTATTTCGACCACTGTACCCTGAAGCTTTTCCTGTAAGTCCTTTGCGACAAATGTAAGTGACTTCGTTTACGATGTTTCATAGATCTATCTCGAAAATTTATTGTAGAAACTGTACGATCACAGATACAGTACAGAAAGCATCGATTATTTTCAATGATTGGATTAGTCAAGAGATTCATCTCTATCGCAATGCATCAACTCTCGAAATCGATTGGACAGTTGGACCAATTCCAATCGATGATAATATAGGCAAAGAAATCATTATTCGTTATAATACAAATATCGATAGTGGATCTAAATACTACACAGATGCTAATGGACGTGAAGTACTCGAACGTATACGCAATCATCGACCAACATGGCCTTACTTTCCTGAAGTACCTATCACTGGCAATTATTATCCGATCAATAGTCGTATTTGGATTCGTGATCGGGAACGTCAATTGACGATTCTTACTGGTCAGTGTTTTTCCTAGTGCGCATAGCCTTGCTCTTGTATAATTCACTTTTCTTCGCAGATCGATCGGAAGGTGGTGGAAGCATGTACGACGGTTCAGTTGAAATTATGGTTCATCGTCGAATCTTGCACGATGATTCCATGGGTGTTGGCGAAGCTTTAAATGAAACTGCGTATGGTAAAGGTCTTGTAGTAACGGGTAAACATATTCTTATTATTGATCGTCCATCGGACAGTGCTCGACTTCATCGAACTGGTGCTCAGCAGATGTTCATGCACCCATTGGCAACATATTCCTTACCAAATACATCATCCTATATAAATTATTCAAATATGTATAAGCAGAGTTGGTCTGCTCTATCGGACGCAATGCCATTGAACGTACATTTATTAACATTCGATCAGCTCAACTCGAAACAATATCTCATTCGAGTTGAACACTATTTTGAATTAAATGAAGACGATGTCTATTCCCAACCGGTGACAATCGATCTTCAAACATTATTCACAAGTATTGGTACGATCAAAGACATGACTGAACTGATCTTAACTGCTAATTTACCGCTATCAGATTTACATCGACTTGACTGGATGATAAAAGACGATCAATCGTCACGTGCTGATATAATTCGTAAGTTTAGTTTATACTGCAGACGAATCTTTCGATCATTTTCTTTTAGAGCAATCTGTATCGAACACGACGTCAATCACTTTGAATCCCATGCAAATTCGTACATTTCAAATCGATATTTTGTAGTCTTTTGAGTCCCGACTTTTTTTGATCGCATCTAAATTTGGAAAAACATAATTTTAAGTAGCTAAATATGCCGTCGGATGGGTGGGTGTCAGTGGAATCGACTTGACGTTAACAAGTCGAATCCTTGAATAGTATTTCTAAATATAAAAATTTAAAACTTGAAGAAGATCCTTAACATTCGAATCGAGTTAACGATTTCTACACGACTTACAATGAAAGGACCCCTTTGATTTTAGTCTTGAATTTTAGACAAAATAGAGGTTGAGATTATGCGCATCATTGTGTATATTTTGTTGCTTTTAATTACGTGCAACAAAAAGTTTTTGATTCTATGCTATTTTCTGATATTTTGGACGATCAGTAGGGCTCCAAAATTTGTTCACTTTTGCACTCAGTATGGGAACTACCAGTGTTGATCGATGCTGGTTTTCACGCTCTACACAATAACATATTGCCCTAGTTTATCAGTAGCTTCTCTGCCAAAAACTGTACGATCAAACAAGTCCCACAGGCGTCATTTATTTGTTAAACAAGTTATTTTTCAGATTTTTGTAACATGTTGTTGTAGTAACAACCTAGAAGAGCGCCAAAAATCTTCATAAATCAAAACTATTAATAAGCCATGTATCTCAATACATCGTCATTTTCACTTTTCATTACGGCTTTACACTTCGATTCGGCAACAATTGCACAAAATGATCTACTGTAAACAACATCAATTTACGTGTGAAACTACCGTACATGGATCTACCGGTTATACATCGTTCCGAACATCTGACATATACACCTCATGTTTTCGATTACGGACTTCATGATAAAATCGGCAGTGGCTTTTTTGTCACGGTGTTCGTAACGGACATCGATTCCGAGAGTTCGGAAAAATAAAATGGTACGAAACGTAGTTCACCCTTTGAAAGTCAATAGAATAGAGGCGAAGATATCTTCTGTCTCTATGAAACTCGATGTTTCGTACAACCATGACTAAATGTGCAGTTTCAATGTTTCATTTTGTTCGACGATTTATTCTATATTTAGTATTGAAACAAGCAAAATGAATGACATTGCACCATCATACAAGATTATTACTGCAAATCAAAACATTAGCCATCCATGCACTTTGCTATTACAGGTAATATACGATTTCGATGATGATGATGACTGATAAAGAATATATCTTCGTGACTAGAGTATTATTAAGATTAAAACTATACTCACCTTTGTATACAATATTTTGTCCTTGTATAAAAAAGGACAGAACGAAATACAGTACACCAACGGATTATACAGTCATTCTCTATTTCTGTTTTACGAAAACATATGGCATAAAATTTGATGAAAAATAACAAAAGAAACTCTCTACATAGAAATCTTTTATATTTCTGAATCGCGATAAGTTTCGACAAATGTTCCATGCAAGATACAAGCTTTATGCAAAGCTTCAATTTTGTCAAAATAGATCATACGTATCTCAGTTGGATTCGAATGTCTGCAAACATTTATACATTAGAGATTCTTTTGAAATTTTCACTCTTTCTCGTCATGGTCATTAGCAAAAGTGTGGATGTATGTAGAATGTGCTAACTAAATCAGTACAAGTAGCTTATGAGGAAAGCGATATATTTTCAGAACGATGACGATTGTTGTAACAGTGGATATAGTGTAGATTTCAATGTAGCTCAAGTCCGAATCGAGTTAGAAGAGCACGAATGGACTAATGTTGAATCATGAGTCTTCCGATTGAATTCAGCTTTGAATTGGCAAGAACTTTTGAGAGATAATGTTTTTTTGTTGAAATATAAGATTTTTATTTAGATGAAATACCACCAATAAAAATTACATTCGCAGGAAATTTATCAGAACGTAGAAGGGGTCGAATAAAATGTTAAAAGCGATCAGTATAGAATAATGTTTTTCTTATTCCAAAACTGGATATTCCTGAGATCTCTATTGAGATATTGACTTTCAGCAATATCGAAGTTGACGCTTTCATTATAGTGTCTTTCGTCCATGAAGAAAAAATTTTCAATCGAGAAAAAATATCGAGCACTGAGTGTGATCTCAAAGAACAAAAACTTAACCGTAATCAAGAATACAAAAGAAGAGATCCAAATTGAACAAGCCATCTCGTATTCAAAAGGAAACGAAGAAATTTGAACGCAGAGAAAAGTACTATCGGAGTTATTTCTAGAGACAGGTATGAGCAGGGGGAACGATTTATGATTTGAATTTGAGTTTTGAGTGATTTAAATCAGCTTTTCCCCGATTGGAGTATTCTCTTAAACGTGTTACATAAGGATACTGATGGAAAACAACTATTTTTCTCTCACACTATTCAAAAATGTAAAAAATACGAACTTTTTGCTGGCTTCGTTACATATAGTTTTGGATGAGCGGCAACTCAAAAGTTCTATTTAAAAATTTTCTAGTATACACAATTTGTAGAGCTCAACGAACTCGATCTTGAATAACATTACTTGCCACCTTTCTCTTATTACATTTTTATTATTTGATCTCGTTGCGCTCATCGACCTTTCCAAGGCTTTTATCGTTTCTATTTTATAACTTGTACATAAACATACATAGATTTCTGAGAAGATTTTCAATCTTGAAAAAAATAATATGAAAAGCGTCAGTTACTTGACCTTAGTACATTGCTCTGACTTTTGCGAACACATCAGTAAGCGTGGATTCAGCTTGTATTTTCTTTGCGAATCAAAGTTCATCTGTTTTTTATTGATGTTTCGTTAAATGACAACAATTATTCGTTGTCATTCAAACAAACGATTAACGAAAAACGTCCTATTTCACGCATGAAATGCACCATATTTTGCGTACCTTACCTGATTAAATGAGTATAGATTACCAAAAATAACGAATAATTTTGTCGTAGATTCTCTCTAACGTCGTAGTTGGCCTATAAAAGCCATCGCACATCAATAGAAAGTCACAAACAAACATTCAACATTTCGTAAGCAACTTCCCTGTCCTAACTTCAAATCAATATCATTGACAATGTTTATCAAACGCGCAATGCTCTATACAATTTGCCTTTTCGTATTACTCGTAGCAATCACCCGAGCATCATTTGCTGAATCTTTAGTCGATCGCAGTATGAATGAGGAATCGAGCGAAGATTCGCAGCAACATCTTAAGCAGCGTGCAGCACTGGTTGAAACTCTATTTGGTATTCAAAAACGTTGTGTTGGTTATGGTCAACATTGTTCACCTTATGGCGGCCTCCATTGTTGCGATGGTGATAATAACTGTGGTGGTGGTCGTGATGGTACTAGACGCGGTATTTGTTATTGTCGACGTACTGATAATTCCTGTATTGGTCGCCTTCGCAACGACTGTCCGCAGACTTATTCTGGTGGCAATTGTGCCTGAATTAGTTAGTAAAAAGCAATATCACTTTCTAGTTTTTATATTCCACATATATCTTTACTTTTTGTAGAAAGTGCCAATGCCATGTCACCTTCCATCATCAACCTACAACTCTCGACAAACATTATTAATTATTAACTACTTTTGTCTTTCTCGCGTAGCTTGCTTTAATGTAGTTATACCTAATAAATCAACTCATTTGCCAGTTTTTTTTCTTTTCACTTTGTTGCTTTTCCTTTCTTTCAATCTAAATAAAGCTTTGATTATCCAAATAAGCATATTAATCGGTAAAAATAAATATCGTTCAGGATTATATTGAACAATGATAACTTAATTAAATTCTATTTATGACAAAAAATGAGCTCGGAAACTCATTGCTCTACTCCAAAGATCAAATGAAATGAACTTTTTTGACGTCTATTTCTACAGATTTTTGTTAGATCATAAAGGAAGAGGCTATCGAGCTTGATTCGTTCAACAGACGATAAATAGTTAAATCAGAAACTTTTGGTTTGAGACGAATGATCAGTTTTACTATTCTCCGGCAATATTGGCAAAGTCTCGAAAAGCTTAGTTTTTCATTCTTCTATCTTATTAAAATAATTATTTCGAAACATTTAAAATTTCATATGATCAATACTATAAAAAGTATTATGAGCCTAGATTTTGTATTACATAAATGACGTTTCACGCAATATTTTTTTTGTTTTTAATCATAAATAAATGAGATTATTGTTTTCTGAAGCTTCATAATTTGATCTGTGAGTATATTGGAAAAGGTAAGTGATCTTGGTTAACTGTGACCTTGATTACTGTATATTTTTGTCCTCAGTGCAGATGCGAAGAGAACGCTGACTGATCTATCGTATTACTGTAAATCGATATTGCTCTCATATTGTACAATGTTATTTATAGAAAAAGGGCTGCTTATTACATGAAAGAACAGAAAAAAAAACTTTTTTGAGTAATAATAATATTTGTAAACATGGATAGTGAGAATAACTATTATTATTTTGTGCCATATCGATTGTCAGTAAATGCTCAAATATCTATATTTTAGTGGTTGTTGGCAACATCCAAATGATGATGAGTTCTGTATTGAGCGCGACTATTTTTGCAATATTTTCTTACCGTGTTCGGTTTTAACTGCTTTAAAAACGATGCGTCGCACATTTTTGAACTTATCGATATGTGTGTATGTTACGAAATCGTCATGTTGTGACACGATAGTGTTATCTTTGATTTCTCCTTTCGGATCATTAATTTCTTAAGAAGACTAAATTATATAAATATTTAGATTCAAAAGAATGTAGGGTGTACAAAAGATACGACTAAAAAAAGTAAAATAAAACAATATTTTCCGATGCATGTAACTGTAGATGAGATGGAAGTGACAGTACACTGAAAACAGAAACGGTTTAATACGAAATCGGAATTCTTTTCGAAACTGGATGTGCAGTGATTTGGTAACTAGGATTTCGTACACGAAATATCGCTGGATTTTTTATCCCCTTTATTTCGATCCGATGATTTCGTACCCAATAAGTTTTGCAACATGACATCAGGCTGTTTGAACGACTGTATACTCCACTGTCACCTACCTAGAAAACGGATTTAAATGCAAGATTAACTTTTGCGATAGGTCGTTTGTCGTCACGTCGGAAATCTTTGCGCAGAATTCGACTTTTTCTTGAGCGGATTCGTTTCAGTGTAGGTTCCAATCAAGCTAACACTAGTTTCAAGTACAACTTGATGAGGTTTATCGGCTCCGATCATAAAAATTTTTACCCATACCCTCACCCTCACCCTCACCATCACCCGACCCCATCGCTGTTCTATTAAACAGACGTTTTATAACGAGCTGAAAGGTGAAAATCTAGTATGACTTTTTTAGCTTTTGTTTTTTTCTTGATTTCGAGCTACACAATAAAGAAGAAGAGAAACTCTCAAGTGATCTTCAATGAAGAGTAAAATCGTCAAATGCGGCAACAACTTTTTCAACACGATGGGTCATGCTATTTACAAGATTTAATGCCAGCTCTTCTTGCAGCTTTTCCCACTCATTGTTCATTGCATTCACCAACGTTTCATATATAGCTGGCTGTCGTTGAACGACCTTTATCTTGAGCAAAGACCATTAATTTTTAACTGGATTAATATCGGAACTTAAAGATAGCCAAGGTACATTTAAAATCCCTTGGGAATAGACTTCCAATTCTTGCTTTAGTTCGGTCGATGCTTGGGGTCGTTATCTTCGAATCAAAACCATTGAGATTATCCAAAATGTGCGGGGGGGGGGGGGGGGGGGGGGGGGGGGGAGGAGGCTCCCGCGATCGATTTCTTGATACCGGGCTTTGTTTTTGGTTTGTTTTCAAAAAGTAATCGCTTTTTCTTCTNGGGGGGGGGGAGGGGGGGGCGGGGGGGGCGGGGGGGGGGGGGGGGGGGGGGGGGCGGGGGGGGGGCGGAAGGAAGTAGAGCTCTGCGATAGATTCATTGATACAGGAATTCGTTGTTCAGGTTGTTCTGAAAACAAATTACTTTCTCGACTTCCTTTGATGAAAAGCAGCTCCAAACGTTGATCTTCGAAGGATATATGACTCTGCTCCAATGGTAATCTTCCATTGATCTAATACGGGGACTTACGGTCAAGAGTATGTACTTTTGCGTGTGTGCTCAGCTTCTTGCACATTCATCATCCCAATTAGAATCAAATATCCGATCTTATTTCACGCAAAGTATAAGAATTTAAATCATTCTTCCATCTATCCATCCTTAATTCGAGACGTAGATACTGCGAATGTCAGATCGTGTTTTTCTCAACGAACTTTTTCACGTATCAGAGACAGTAATAGAGTATGTCACGTTTACTTTTCAAACTATTGATACACTCTTTAACAATTTGTTTTTCTATTAGTTCATTTTATTTAGTTACGGTTGCGTGCTTTTTCTTAAAGATTAGTATCAGAACTAAATCGCATTCATAGACTATAATCATCATCTCATGAGAATCTACTCTGACGTAGTAACATCCAAAAGATACTATAATCATCTCAAATGATATACTAGATTCTGACAAGATAAAAGTACCGAGCAATGATAAAAATCCCTTTTTCTTATATACAACTGGTTCCGCTGTTCATTGTATATTTGAATCAATAAAATGTCGAACTCAACTGTGAATATAACTATCTGTGACAGTGATGTATATTACATTTCAACGATTAACCTTGCGAACAAATTGATTTCTCAATATGGTATGGGTTTCATTTGGTTTATTGGAAATCTCGGGTCCATTCTCATGTGTATTGTTTTTACTCAACCGATCTATCGTAACAGTCCGTGTGCGATGTTCTTTCTAGCTGCGAGTATTTCACAGTTTTTTACCTATAACTTTGCATTATTCACTCGTATACTCACTTTTGCGTTCGCTGTTCTTACTCTCAATTACAATCTTTGGTATTGCAAACTTCGTTTCTACCTTTTTTACATATTCGTGGCTCTTCCTCGTTATTACATTATCCTAGCATCGATTGACCGATATTTCGCTAGTTCACGCAATGCACTTCGACGGCAACGAAGTTCACCTAAAATGGCCTTTCGGCTGATCATTGGAAATGTTATATTTTGGTGCATAATTTATATTCAAATCATTATTTTTTACGACATCGAAAGTGGCACTTGCACATATCGAGCGGGAGCTTACGGAATGTTCTTTAGTATTTATATTACAATTGAAAGCGGCATCCTACCATTGCTCTTGATGCTCATCTTTGGATCGTTAACCGTGGGAAACATCCGTGAGTCGAAGATGCGCATTAATGAAGATACAGGGTTGAGGACACGAATGTCAAAGAAAGACATTCAGCTGCACCGAATGTTAGCAAATCAAATTGTTTTGTTCATCATTCTGAATATGCCGAATCCGATCTATCTGATCTACAGTTCATTTACAGTCAATATGTCAAAATCAGCACTCCAAAACACAGCAGAAACATTTATTAGTAACATGACATATGTGCTGATTTATTTCGGTTTTTCATTAGCATTTACGAATTTCATGTTTTCATCGGGTATCTTCCGACGGGAACTTATTCAATTGCTTCGAACGAAAGTGCTTCGTCAAACTTCAAGGGCGACAAGGAGTGTAGCTTAAATTAAAACACTTCATCGAGATGACAATGGTCAGCTATCAATATATCAGACATAGGAAACCACACAAGCATGGAGTGAACGCAGAATCATCATCATACATTTGATCTTGAACTTATCCTTGCTTTTTTTTGTTGTTGTTCTATAGTAAAGATGTGACTGAATTTGCTAACTTTTTCTATTTTAAAAAACATTATATACAATGAATATCTAATCAGTTTCTGAACTTTTTCATAGGTTTCGTTAGAGGATGATGAACAAGCCATTGATGATCTGGTCGTCGCGACGCAATCTGTTGAAGACAGCGATCAAGAACCTCTTGAATGGACCGAGAACGAGTTGGTAGAACGCCGAGCGGTGGTCGTGCAGATTCAAACATAGGCGGTTTGCCATAAGTTATATGGTATAGAATAGCACCTGCTGACCAAACATCAGCTTTGGATGTGATCGGCATTTGGCCTGAGAAGCATTCGGGTGCACTATATGGACGCGTGCCACCTATTCTTTGATGTCGACTATATCTACGTAAAACGAGACGATAGATGACAAGGAAATAGAGGAAAATTCGATTTACCCTGTGAATTCATCTTGAGCCATACCGAGATCAATGACTTTCAAGTTTGGCCCGAAAAACAATAAATTCGCCGGTTTTAAATCACGATGAATCTATCATGAGATTCATTGATAAAACGATCGTTGCTTTACAAATTTTCATCTCGATTTCAACTTACTACACCATATTGATGAAGTGCTAGAATAACATTGACTAATTGACTCCAAATTCTCTGTCGTTCTCTTGGTGAAATATAATCTGACGCTCGAGATCTCAACTGTGTTTGATGAAGATTTTGAATTCGATCGAGAAATGATTCATTTGATAATTCCATTGCGATAAAACCGACACCATGTCGCGGAATATACTCATATCCATACATTGTTACAATATGTCTAGTTTCATTACGCATTTTCCTAGCCATTTTGACTTCAGTTGTAAATGAATTCAGGCGATCATTGTAGCCCATGGCATTTTTTGCACGATTGAAGTCAAACACTTTCACAGCAACATATTTACCTTAAAAAATCCAATTTTAGCTCAGTCAGGACAAAAAGAAACAACACTACACTCGAAAAATACATTTTATAACAAAACGATCCGTTACACATGACGAACGGCGGCTGTCATATCACGCAGAGAAAGTGAATAGATTTTCATATGGGAGACTGCGGTGATATCGAAAATATTTTTAAAAAATTTCGTTATCACACTACCGACCACATAAATGTGTCAAAGAAGAGGAAAAGAAACTTACCATTCGGTGTCACAGATTTCCATACAGATCCATATGTTCCATGTCCTAGTCGACTTAGCAAAGTATACAGTTGTCCATGAATGTTACAAGTTTGATTTCCATGCATTATCTTATTAGGAAACATTCTGGTGATGAAAATGACACTGAATCGTTGAAAAAACCGAATGTTATATGATCGGAGTCGGGTTAATTGTCGCTCTTGAGTATATTATGCCCATTAACTTTGACTTTTTAATTATATAAACATGTTTTGAAATGTAATTATTCGCAAAATATCGTTCTACATATGTGTTTTAATGAGTAAATATTTTTATGAAGAACATAGTTCCCCGATCAATTATATGATTTTATCGAATGTAAACGAAAACATCGGTTCCGTACGCACTTCCGATGATGAAAACATAGATGCACTTGAAAATTAGACCGATATATCAGAATAACTGTTTATTATCAAATAAGTTTATGTAAAACATTCAGCCTTTCTTTGCTAACATTTGAATAATGTGATCACAGAAATACGTATTATTGTAGTATATATGATTTCTGATTGAAACTTTGCTGATTTTGATAAATCATAGCGATTTTTTTTTGTTGAAAAACTTACGTGACATCACACAAGACAAAGCTTTCGAAAGAATCTTCGCGTCTATGACATAAAAGTCGAGAGACAAATCTAATTCCGACAATAGAAGCATTTTTCTTGCAATGTGCGGTGTCACGAAAGAGGAGATTTTCTCTACAAACAAAATAGAAATTTTTTCGTTATCAAACAACCACCATAACACTCAATTTTGAGTAACGGAATACAGATGAAGTGGAACGAAAAAAATAAGACAAGTTCTTTACCTATTTTTACATGATATTTTTATGTTGACATTCAGATATTACACCTTTTCGTTTTCTCCCGTGATGTTCTTTTAAACGCATAATGTCCCGGGAGATTTATTCACACATAACTTTAAGACTTGCATTTGTGTCAAATTTGGAGAAAGAGAATCATTCAAATAAAATAGAGATTGAGCATGTCTATATTTTTTTACGAAAAAAAACTCATTATACGGAAAAATTTTAAAAAAATAATTCCATCGTTTATTGTAATGAACTACTTAAACATTGATTAATCATGAGAGGAAGATAAGTTGGGATTATTTTGTTTGAGATATTCCTGAAATTTTAATCCTCGAATATCTCTACTTCCAATTAATCCTATGTTTCCGTCGGTTAGTGTACAAATTCCAAAAGCATTGATGTGAATCGATGATTGATAATGTTGATAATTACAACAATGTATCTGATGACTTTTCGGATCATTGATGAGTAAANAATTATTATCCGATCAATAGTCTTATTTGTATTCGTGATCTGGAACGTCAAGTGGCGATTCTTACTGGTCACTGTTTTTTCCTAGTGAATAGTCTTGCTCTTCTATAATTCACTTTTCTTCGCAGATCGATCGGAAGGTGGTGGAAGCATGTACGACGGTTCAGTTGAAATTATGATTCATCGTCGAATCTTACACGATGATTCCATGGGTGTTGGTGAAGCTTTAAATGAAACTGCCTACGGTAAAGGTCTTGTAGTAACGGGTAAACATATTCTTATTATTGATCGTCCATCGGACAGCGCTCGACTTCATCGAACTGGTGCTCAGCAGATGTTCATGCACCCATTGGCAACATATTCCTTGCCAAATACATCATCCTATACAAATTATTCAAATATGTATAAGCAGAGCTGGTCTGTTCTATCGGACGCAATGCCATTGAACGTACATTTATTAACATTCGATCAGCTCAACTCGAAACAATATCTCATTCGAGTTGAACACTATTTTGAATTAAATGAAGATGATGTCTATTCCCAACCGGTGACAATCGATCTTCAAACATTATTCACAAGTATTGGGACGATCAAAGACATGACTGAACTGATCTTAACTGCTAATTTACCGCTATCAGATTTACATCGACTTGAGTGGATGATAAAAGATGATCAATCATCACGTGCTGATATAATTCGTAAGTTTATTTTATACTGCAGACGAATCTTTCTATCATTTTTTTTCAGAGCAATCTGTATCGAACACGACGTCAATCACTCTTAATCCCATGCAAATTCGTACATTTCAAATCGATATTTTGTAGTCTTTTGATTCCCAACATTTTTTGATCGAATCTAAATTTGGAAAAACATAATTTTAAGTAGCTAAAGGTGCCGTTGGGTGTCAGTGGAGATGACTTGACATTAAAAACTTGAATCTTCGAATTCTAAAATGGAAGATTTAGAAGTTCAATAGTTTAGAATTTGAATAGTATTTCTAAATTTAAAAGTTTAAAACTTGAGGAAGATATTTAACATTCGAATCGAGTTAACGATTTCTACACGACTTACAATGAAAGGACAACATCGATTTTAGTCTTGAATTTTCGACTTTCTTGATTCATACTTTGAATAGTTTAGACAAATAGAGCTTGAGATTATGCGCATCATTGTGTATTTTTTGTTACTTTCAATTACATGCAACAAAAAGTTTTTGTAGTTAAATTAGAATTTGGTTCTATGCTATTTTCCGATATTTTGGACGATCAATAGGATCCCCAAAATTCGTTCATTTTTGCGCTCAGTATGGAAACTAACAGTGTACGATCGATGCTGGTTTTCACGCTCTGCACAATAACATATTGTCCTAGTTTATCAGTAGCTTCTCTGCCAAAAGCTACACGATCAAACAGGTCCCATAGGTATAACTTATATGGTAAACAAGTTATTTTTCAGATTTTTGTAGCACTTTGTTGTAGTAAAAACCTAGAAGAGCGCCAAAAATCTTTATAAATCAAAACTATTAATAAGTCATGTATCTCAATACTGGCCGAACAATATATATAGTTAGCATCGTTCTCATCGTCATTTTTGCTTTTCATTGCGGCTTTACACCTCGATTTGGCAACAATTGTACAAAATGATCTACTGTAAACAGCATCACTTTCCATGTGGAAACTACTGCACATGTGTCAAGAGTGACTAAAGCAAATTTCTACTGCTCTTCCTATACGATAGGCCATCAGACCGATTAATTTGATCTATTTACATCTGACCTTGGATCTTGATACAGACTATTTCTGTCCACATAACCCTTCTTCCAGTCAGGGAAACTATCGGGTAGAAGAATACTTTTATCTGAAACTTGATAATGCAAATGAGTTCGAATAGGTTCGCTATAAAAAGATTCAGTTTCAAACAGAACACGTGATATCAGCAGAACTATGAAATTGTTCCAACATTTCAATTGTCGATGCGCTCGAACTTACATCCTACCATACTGATCGTCATGATGTTATGAGCGCAGTCATTGCTATGGATACCATACTGCATCATGGTTTTTATTGATGAGAGTTTGTATCGTATAGGAAAAAAAACAATTTCGCGTAGCGAAACCATGATTTAAAAGTTTCTCGTTGAACGATAAGAAGTAGCCCCTGAAGATCTAAAGCATCTGGTGAATATTGTGACTTTGATTTGGTTAATTAATGATATTTGTATAAAGGCTATTTAATAATGATGGATTCAGTTGACTGCTCGTTGAAATGGTACTAATGACTCTCTCTGATATTCTATAATATGCACTGATGCGTGTGTAGATTCTGTGCCAACATCAGGAAAACGAGCAGCAATAGTACTGATCACTGGATAGACTCTCGAAAGATGGCGAAGGAATTCTTCTAGGTATCTTTCGTTGTATTATGATAGAAGAGAACATCTGTCATTCGTGAAAAATATCATTCTTCGAGCTTTGAATGTAAATCAAATTGCTTCGTATTTTGTCTCTTAAGAACTTTATCACATTACAATATTAATATCGATACCCAGTTTGTTTTCAAATAAGAAACAACATGTATTTTCCTATTTTCGAAGAACATACGTGCTCGATATCATTCAACATGGCTCAACGTTTAGGTGTCCGAATATACCCACTACATTCGTATAGAACAACAATCACTACTACGATTTTGTATAAGAATGGCGATAGATATATGTAATGTCTACTCTCACCCTCGCTATCGGTTGATTCTCGCAACAGATCATTTTCCTGCTTTGATCAGTTATTCAATACAATATTTTGTTGATAAAAGAAATAAAAATGATAAGTGATTATTTCTTAGTATGAATATTAGGAGATATGGTAAAGCTGTTACTCGGCTTAATAATGAAAATCTTGCTGCGGTGTTAGTGAATAGTTATCATCATAAATCTATCTATAAGATATTAGATCCACTGGTTACTATTCGAACAGCACTCCAATCTCGGTTGTTCTGAATAGTCATCAAACATTACTCGGAAGATCAAGTCCCGTCATTACAAGTTTCTTAACCTCGTCATCATCATTAGCGATAGTAGATGATCGGAGAAAAGTAAATGTTTTAAACTCCACACCAACGGGCTCCTGACCATCTATTCAAGATATCAGATCAACAATTCTAGTCACGGGGCCAAAACCATGTTTACCGGGTACTTAGAAGAATTGTTCAGGAATGATCGGTTGTGCTCTCTGTCGGAATGGTACGAAAAATCCGGGTAATTTCACAATTAGTTGTATTCGATGTTCATTCGGATTATTCTGTTTGCTCGGAGAAGCAGATGAGGCGCATGAATCATTCTTAGAAAGTGTAATTCGAGTTTTGACTTATTTCAAATCACTCGAAAGTATTATCTTTGAAGAAATTCCATTAGCAAATATGTTTACGATCCACTCTAGTCGCTGTGTGGTGATGTCACCATTGTTTTGAACATTGATGATCATTGCAGCTATTGCCTTGATTATCGTCGTATTATGGAACTTTTTCATCAGACATCCCAAGAATAAAAATGTATGTGAAATATTAACATGCTTATTTAAACATACAGATTTGATTAATAAAAATGAATTCTGGATGGAAGGTTTCGCATCATTGTCAATTCTTGTTTTAATTTGTTTTCGCTCAAATGTTTAGTCATTAATATCCCATTGAAACATCAACAAATTCGTTCTTGGCCTATGATTTATCGTTAAACAGAGCGCGAAATTTGAAACGAATGTTCAACCTTTATCTGTACCACATACACATGATGAACAATTAAGAATTTCTTTCAGAAATCGACTTTGTCAATACAGTCATTGATCGTAATGCTGTATTGATTTAAATGCAATTAGGTAAAACAATGTCAACCATTTGTTGGTTAACATGTGAAAGTAACAGCTGCATTCTCTCGCTTTCTATTTCAGTACCTTGTCAGCACGTTTTCGCTCAAATTTTATTAGGAGATGTGGTCAACCAAATACTTGATTCAACTCTGTGGAGCTATAAACGAATATTTACAGTTTATATAAAAAATATTCAAAATGATGGAAGTCTTGTTTAATATCTCAACTTACTGATAGTTGATTTGTTCCTGAACTATTTCTATTAAACGAACGTTTTGTAAGGAGCTGAAAGGTGGAAATTTAATTTGACTTTTTATTTTTTGTTTGCTTGATTTCAAGTTGCACAATAGAAAAGAAGAGAAACTCTCAAATGAGCTTCAATGAAGAGTATAATCGTGAAATGCGGCAATAACTGTTTCAACACCATGGGTCATGCTGTTTACAAGATTAAATGCCGGTTCTTCTGACAGCTTTTCCCACTCATTGTTTATTGCATCCACCAACTCTTCATACATAGTTGGCTGTCGTTGAACGACCTTCATCTTGAGCGAAGACCATCAATTTTCAACTTGATTGATATCAGAACTCAAAGATGGCCAAGGTACATTTTAAATTCCTTGGGTATAGACTTCCAATTCTTGCTTTAGTTCGATCGATGCTTGGGGTCGTTATCTTCGAGTCAAAACCGCTGAGATCATCCAAAATGTACGAGGGCGGAAGGAAGTAGAGCTCTTCGATAGATTTTTTAATACAGGAATTCGCTGTTCAGGTTGTTCTGAAAACAAGTTACTTTCTCAAATTCCTTTGATGACAAGCAGCTCCAAACGTTGATCTTCGAAGAATATTTGACCGTTCGAACAATCTTTCTTTCTTCAGGTCATTGCTACATTTACTTTTGCCGGGCTTGTAAGCGAATTTTTCTTTAATCAATGAATATGACTCTGCTCCAATCGTAATCTTCCATTGATCTAATACAGGAACTAATGGTCAGGAGTATACACTTTTTGCGTGTGTGCTCGGCTTCTTGTGCATTCATCATCCCAATTAGAATCAAACATCCGATTTTATTTCACGCAAATTATAAGAATTTAAATCATCCTTCCACCTATCCGTCCTTAATTCGAGACGGAGATACCGCGAATGTCAGATTGTGTTTTTCTCAACGAACTTTTTCACGTATCAAAAAAACAGTGACAGAGTACGTCTCGTTTACTTTTCCAACTTTTGATACACCCTTTAACAATTTGTTTTTCTATTAGTTCATTTTATTTAGTTACGGTTGCGTGCTTTTTTTTAAAGATTAGTATCAGAACTAAGTCTTATTTATAGGCCATAATCATCATCTCATGAGAATCTACTCTGACGTAGTAACATTCAATAGATACTATAATCATCTCAAATGATATACTAGATTCTGACAAGAAAAAAAAGTACCGAGCAATGATAAAAGCCCTTTTTATTATATACAACTGGTTCCGCTGTTCATTGTATATTTGAATCAATAAGATGTCGAACTCAACTCTGAATATAACTATCAGTGACAGTGATATATATTATATTTCAGCGATTAACTTTGCGAACAAATTGATTTCTCAATATGGTATGGGTTTTATTTGGTTTATTGGAAATCTTGGATCCATTCTCATGTGTATTGTTTTTACTCAACCGATTTATCGCAACAGTCCATGTGCGATGTTCTTTCTAGCTGCAAGTATTTCACAGTTTTTTACCTATAACTTTGCATTATTCACTCGTATGCTCTCTTTTGCGTTCGCTGTTCTTACTCTCAATTATAATCTTTGGTATTGCAAAGTTCGTTTCTATCTTTTTTACATATTCGTGGCTCTTCCTCGTTATTACATTATCCTAGCATCAATTGATCGATATTTCGCTAGTTCACACCATGTACTTCGACGGCAACGAAGTTCATCTAAAGTGGCCTTTCGGCTGATCTTTGGAAACGTTATATTCTGGTGTATAATTTACATTCAAATCATTGTTTTTTACGACATTGAAAGTGGCACTTGCACATATCGAGCGGGAAGTTACGGAATGTTCTTTAGTATTTATATTACAATTGACAGCGGCATTCTACCGTTGCTCTTGATGCTCGTCTTTGGTTCGTTAACCGTGGCAAACATCCGTGGGTCGAAAATGCGCATTAATGGAGATGCAGGATTGAGGAGACGAATGTCAAAAAAAGACATTCAGCTGCACCGAATGTTAGCAAATCAAATCGTTTTGTTCATCATTCTGAATATGCCGAATCCGATCTATCTCATCTACAGTTCGTTTACAGTCAATATGTCAAAATCAGCACTCCAAAACGCAGCAGAAACACTTATTAGTAATATGACATACATGCTGATTTATTTCGGTTTTTCATTAGCATTTACGAATTTCATGTTTTCATCGGATATATTCCGACGGGAATTTATTCAACTGCTTCGAACGAAGGTGTTTCGTCAAACTTCAACAGCGATAAGGAATGGAGCTTAAGTTAAAACATTTCACCGAAATGACAATGCTCAGTTATCAACAGATCAGGCATAGGAAACCGCACGAGCATAAAGTGAACGCAGAATTATCATCATACAATCGATCTTGAACTTATCCTTGTGTTTTGTTATTCTATAGTAAAGATGTGACTGAATTTGCTAACTTTTTCTATTTTAAAAACATTATATACAATGAGTTTTTAATCAGTTTCTGAACCTTGCCGTAGGTTTCGTTAGAGGATGATGAACAAGCCATTGATGATCTGGTCGTCGAGATGCAATCTGTTGAAGACAGCGATCAAGAACATCTTGAATGGAACGAGAACGAGTTGGTAAAACACCGAGCGGCGGTCGTGCAGTTTCAAACATAGGCGGCTTTCCATAAGTTATATGGTATAGAATAGCACCTGCTGACCAAACATCAGCTTTGGATGTGATCGGCATTTGACCTGAGAAGCATTCTGGTGCACTATAGGGACGCGTGCCACCTATTCTTTGATGTCGACTATACCTACATAAAACGAGACCATGAATGACAAGGAAATAGAGGAAAATCAGATTTACCCTGTGAATTCATCTTGAGCCATACCGAGATCAATGACTTTCAAGTTCGGTCCGAAAAACAATAAATTCGCCGGTTTGAGATCACGATGAATCTATCATGAGATTTGTTGATAAAATAATCGTTGCTTTACAGATTTTCATCTCGATTTCAACTTACTACGCCATATTGATGAAGTGCTAGAATAATACTGACTAATTGACTCCAAATTCTCTGTCGCTCTCTTGGTGAAATATAATCTGACGTTCGAGATCTCAACTGTGTTTGATGAAGATTTTGAATTCGGTCGAGAAATGATTCATTTGATAATTCCATTGCGATAAAACCGACACCATGTCGCGGAATATACTCATATCCATACATTGTTACAATATGTCTAGTTTCATTACGCATTTTCCTAGCCATTTTGACTTCAGTTGTAAATGAATTCAGGCGATCATTGTAGCCCATGGCATTTTTTGCACGATTGAAGTCAAACACTTTCACAGCAACANCCATTGCGATAAAACCGACACCATGTCGCGGAATATACTCATATCCATACATTGTTACAATATGTCTAGTTTCATTACGCATTTTCCTAGCCATTTTGACTTCAGTTGTAAATGAATTCAGACGATCATTGTAGCCCATGGGATTTTTTGCACGATTGAAGTCAAACACTTTCACAGCAACATATTTACCTTAAAAAATCCAATTTTAACTCAGTTAGAACAGAAAAAAACAACACTACACCCAAAAAATACATTTCATAACAAAACGATCCGTTACACATGACGAACAACGGCTGTCTTATCAATATGTAACAAATTTTTTGATCACCCTACCGACTATACAAATCAGTTAAAGAAGAGAAAAGGAATCGTACCATTCGGTGTCACAGATTTCCATACAGATCCATATGTTCCATGTCCTAATCGACTTAGCAAAGTATACAATTGTCCATGAATGTGACAGGTTTGGTTTCCATTCATCATCTTATTAGGAAACATTCTGATGATGGAAATGACATAGAATCGTTGAAAAAACCGAACGTTATATGATCGGAGTCGGGTTAAGTGTCGTTCTTGAGTATATTATGCCCATTAACTTTGACTTTTTAATTATATAAACATGTTTTGAAATATAATTATTCACAAAATATCGTTCTACATATGTGTTTTAACGAGTAAATATTTTTTATGAAGAGCATAGTTTCCTGATCAATTCTATGATTTTATCGAATGTAAACGAAAACATCGGTTCCGTACGCACTTCCGATGATGAAAACACAGATGCACTTGAAAATTAGACCGATATATCAGAATAACTGTTTATTATCAAATAAGTTTATGTAAAAAATTCAGCCTTTCTTTGCTAATATTTGAATAATGTGATTACAGAAATACGTATCATTGTAGCATATATGATTTCTCATTGAAACTTTGCTGATTTTGATAAATCATAGTGACATCACACAAGACAAAGCTTTCGAAAGAATCTTCGCGTCTATGACATAACAGTGGAGAGACAAATCTAATTCCGACAATAGAAGCATTTTTCTTGCAATGTGCGGTATTACGAAAGAGGAGATTTTCTCTACCAATAAAATAGAAATTTTTTCGTTATCAAACAACTACCATAAAACTCAATTTTGAGTAACGGAATACAGATGAAGTGGAACGTAAAAAATAAGACAAGTTCTTTACCTATTTTTACATGATATTTTTGTGTTGACATTCAGATATTACACTTTTTCGTTTTCTCCCGTGATGTTCTTTTAAACGCATAATGTCCCGGGAGATTTATTCACACATATCTTTAAGACTTGCATTTGTGTCAAATTTGGAGAAAGAGAATCATTCAACAAAAAAAATAGAGATTGAGCATGTCTATATTTTGTTTACGAAAAAAAAACTCATTATACGGAAAAGTTTTAAAAAAATAATTCCATCGTTTACTGTAATGAACTACTTAAACATTGATTAATCATGAGAGGAAGATAAGTTGGGATTATTTTGTTTGAGATATTCCTGGAATTTTAATCCTCGAATATCTCTACTTCCAATTAATCCTATGTTTCCGTCGGTTAGTGTACAAATTCCAAAAGCATTGATGTGAATCGATGATTGATAATGTTGATAATTACAACAATGTATCTGATGACTTTTCGGATCATTGATGAGTAAANACTACTTAAACATTGATTAATCATGAGAGGAAGATAAGTTGGGATTATTTTGTTTGAGATATTCCTGGAATTTTAATCCTCGAATATCTCTACTTCCAATTAATCCTATGTTTCCGTCGGTTAGTGTACAAATTCCAAAAGCATTGATGTGAATCGATGATTGATAATGTTGATAATTACAACAATGTATCTGATGACTTTTCGGATCATTGATGAGTAAAAATGAATTTTCCATATCATCATTACACGTCGAATCTCTATAAATAGTAATGACTATACGAAGATTTCTTTTCACAAAACTTACTTCGTTTCAACAGAAATAATTGATAGTGGATGGTAAGGATCGATTAAATCAAATGAACAAATTCTTTCGATATTCTTAGCATCATAAACTGCAATCATCCATTTAGGTGTCTCCGATCTCAACCGTACTAAGAAAGCTATAAACGAGTCGTTGATTGTAAAATCGGTTACATGATACTTCTTTTTCTCGTTCGGGTCATAAAGTTTACTTTCCAAATTCATCCGTTGAATTACAGATGACGTGTCCAAATCATATTTCCCACATATCACTTTAGATTGAGATAAGTAGAGAAATACGATGATAGTTTTGTAGATATGTGCGCTAATGAAATGGTCTTGCTCATGAATCAAATCAATGTCTTGAACAATTTCCATTTGTTGATCTTTTATTCGAAATAAAATGAAACGATTTATTTGTTTAACAGCGATATAGAACAGACGATGCAGTTTTGAATAACCAAGGTTGAGTATGGCTTCATTAAATGGCAGACTGATAGGTACTATTTGACGTGATCGGCGTGGCAAATATTCGAGTTTATGAGACTGGGTTATATAGATCACGAAGTCATTTTTCTGTTCATCGTAGGCTATCAAACGAGAATTTCCATTATTTGGATAAGGTATTTTAAACAAAAGATCGATCATATAATTCGATTTTGACGTCGGTGAAAGACCAGACTGTAAACTACGTGACGGTGATCTGGTCGTCGATTCATTGTTTCTAAAATGAAGCATCAAACAGAAATACCATTCTTTTGCAAGGCATAACTTTACCTTTTAGCGAGTTCTTCCCGTTTTGACTGACCTATAGAACTGGTCGGTGGTGTTTCCCTGGAATCTCTAATTGGAAGAAACGAAGAATGAGGCGTGTTGCTCTGTTCGGGTACGATAACTGGAATCGCTTTGTCTTTGATGAAATCAACGAGAGAAATATCATTGAAATCATATTCAGGAATATCTTTTAACATTTGAGGTCGATGTGGAAATTTATCTTTGAATTGTTTCAACAGATCCGATGCTTTCGCCTTGTCTTCATTAGTTCGATTAATTAATATACATGTTCGATCGAATTCACGCTGATTCTGGTCGCATGTTTTGTTATTTTCATCTTCGAGATAGCTGAATTTTTTTTCATAGATTTGTTTTGTTTCATTTA